TCGGTGCGACAAGTATCAAGACTTGCAAAATCTCAATCATGGAGCTCTACAGACTCTGCAGTACTGCAGCGGAGTCCAAGCTTCTGAGGTCTTCAACCCGCAGGGGCAACTAGTGATTCTCTTGACAAAGTCTTGGGCCCGAACTGCCCCCAACGCTCAGCGAGCATCCGGAGAGCTGGAAGGTGATGTTCTGAGCCCGAAGTTCCGGGTGCTTGCGGTACCACTTTGACTTGAGCGGTCGGGTTGACTTGAAAATTCGGGTTGTGCAACCACGAAAGTGGGGCGAACATCCCATTCGCACGCCGGAAAGCCTGATTCACGTGTTGGGTGGATTGCAGTGTAGAAGGGCATGATAAAATCTGGTCGCGTGACAATAAGAGTAACTACTGAACTATCGTCCTCCGGCTACGGAACACACACTGACATCCCACAAGACTTTGTCCACTGTGCTGGAAATGCTGGCAGAATACCCTCAACCCGAGAAGCCTTCAACATCTGAAACCTTTTCAGTCACCGGGCGGTGCAGCTCACCATAAGATTGCCCGGGATGCGGCAATTGGGCCCACCTGGCCCAGCAAACTCTGGTTTCGGGTGAGTGGCTGCGGCCAGGACCAGCATCTTCTTAGCTTATGCAAACATGAGAGATCATGACAACACTTCTCTATCATCCAGAACTGTTGGTGAACCCCCTCCACCTGCATCAAACCAGTTTACCCGTGAGTGGCCGGACGGCTCCAACAGTCACGGGTGCTTGCGCATGTTCTTGAAATGTCAACTCCCGCAACCTCAATCTTACATGCAGGTCTGTGCAGGTCTTGCTGAACCCTTTGCACGGAAGTTGTGCCTAGGGCATTGACCAGCGACTGCACGTCCGTGTTGGTCATGCCCTCGGAGTCATTGCTCTGACTCTCGTGTCTCCGTCGTTCATGAATAGTGCATTGTAGCACGGCCCCTGTTTTGGATTTCAATCCAGGGGGGGCAAAGAATATCGGTGTAGAATCCTGCTTCGCAGCTGCCGTTCGGTGCTCGTAGCTTCTTGCATTTCAGTGCCAAGCTCCGGCAATCCTTGCTGTCCTGTGTCAACATGAATGATATATGTGCCTGTTTTCCAGGGTTCCTGCACGTGACTCATGTCCATCTATACGACATGCTACCGAACGAATGAGTGCAGTCTGAGTTCAGTCATGAATCAGTCAGTGGTGGCAAACATCCTTTGGGTGCCTTTGGCTCAACAAACGTCAAAAAGCCCTGGCTCGCACACAGCCACTAAGGCTCTGAGGCACCCACTGCCACGGCCTTGGTTCACCAAAAGTAAGCACAATCCCTGAGGACTGCGACTACGATCAGGCTCTGCAGATTTGTGATGGTGAGGCTGGGACCTGAACCGCAAAACTTCAAAAACCGTGAAGTGCAAACTCGTGGCCAGGCTTATTCTGAATGATGATGCGACAACTCGCAGTGCCTCTCATTTATGAAGGCAGGTTTTCAGATCCACTGGACAAGTTCTGACTCAAGCAGTCTGAACGGTTCCTGGGAGTGACCAATATTCAACGAGGATCCGCGGCAGTCGATGTGGATAGAACAACAAACTCCGACGGGTTTTTGCTGTGGGGCTCTGTTAGGAGCAAAGAAACCATATTGCCTCAAGTCAAAGGGGCAACGGTGTCCGTGATGATCATGTAGACAGGGCCACGCCGCAAAGGTGCGAACTCCAGAGACAGCCCGTCCTTCAGGACATGCTGGGACCCTTGCACGGCTGAAACGACAGATTCGCGGCACGGCTGTTCCATGCAAGGCTGTCCTCGCTGACTCTTGTAAACTTCGTGATCACGACTTCTGGAACCTCGGCGACTCCACGACTCGGCGACTCGGCTTCGATGCACTGGTCGAGGCATGGTCAGGCGTAAGACCGTAAGTTCGCGAACCCGAGCTAAGTCGCCTGTTGCGTCAAATCAAGGCGATGTTCGATGCGCGACTTAACTAACTGAGAGTGCAAGCTTGTCTGGACTCCCCTGTCTGTAGAGACGCCATGCAACACGACTACAACCAGAAAGCCAGCACCGAAAGAGCAGGCCACTTAGCACAGGCAGTCTTTGTGCTGGGAAAGGGGCATCATAGATGTCCAGCAAGTGTACGCCTTCCTCCACATACCTGCCAGTGGCAAGCTGAGAGCCAGCTCTACAGTGAGCCCTTCACACAGAGGCATCACGGCTTTGGTCGGGACTTTGGTGCGTAGTGCATAGTGACATAGTGTGCTGTCGTGCGAAGTTGGACTTGGAAGCGCGGGGGGGCCAGCATCTAGTGATTTGTCGAAGCCATGCCCCATGCTTGCACCATGCGGGCCGTGGTGCAGAGACTGATTCTCCAAAGTGGGCACATTCTGACAAAAGTCGATGACTTCCTCAGCAAGCGCTAATTACCTCTACTTACATGCTTATGAGCCAAGGTGAAGTGGCTGGACATGCTCCCGTTGTCACGAAAGAAAGCGCCGGTAACGGTCAAGAAATCCAGCACCACAGTAGCCGTAATGATCCGGAGTGAGACTGCAAATTGCGCTTGAAGGTGTGAACATGTGTGAACTGGTATGAGGCAGATCTTCAGATATGCACTCCCAGTCTCGACAGAGTTGGGTGTCGTCTGCTCTGCGAGCGACGACTTCGTGTAGATGGAGAAGTAGTTGTACCCTGGAGTGACATGGATCGAAATTCGCAACTCGAAGCTATCTGAGTTTCAAATTTTTGCGCGTTAAAACTTACCCCAATACAAGTACTAGTCAACGAGTGTTGCAATATTCATGTGCAGTGGCGACATGCTTTATTTAAAGAATTTAAGTCTTCTGTTGCAGAGATTTAATCGATTGGATTGCCGCGTGCTGGGAACTCAAACTCAGAAAGTTCGAAAGTCTTGACCTGGGATGTCCTCAAAACTCAAGTCCCAGTGTCCTGACTGTGGGGTCTGGAACGGCAAGTCGTAGGAGTTGAGGTGCCCAGGAATCTCGAACCTCAGCAGCTCTCAAGTTCGGTGCAATCATGCTCGGAAAGGGGGAACACAGGAGGTCTTCAGGGATTAGTGCTGTGCGAAGACCTAAGAAAAGCCTCTGAGTCAGGATGCCACCGCGTGGAAACTTGTCTTCACGCTAGGTTCTCGGCATTTGCCTACTGGGCTGAAGGGGCAGTTTACGCAGACTACAGGCAAGAACTCACGGAAGAGGCTTTATGCAACGCAAACATGTGGAAACGAAACAATATAGGCATGGCCAAGGTACTCGAACCTGCGGCTTCCTGAAAGCATGCCTGGGGTAATCGCAAAGTAGCCGACATAGAATGCCACCTCCCGAAGCAAATGCGGGCTTCAGGTCCGTTGGACGCTGAAAGTGCATCTGCGGCGACAGACCTTTGAAGCTTCCCATGGACCACTTACAGCCGGCCGTTCATGTTGCAATGGCTCCGAATGCTCCCTTCGACGAAATTGAAAAGGCATCCGCCAAGTGCACAAACACGACTTTGGAATCAGATGATAGAAAGATCAGATCCAATTGTCGTTGCCATGCCTCCGAAGTGTCATTTGGTGGAACCCAGAGGAACTGCCCGCCCAGCATATCGATGTCCTCGCGATTTGACATCTACAGGCAGCCCAGATGTGAGTGGGTTGAATGGTTGACTGCGTTGCCCTCACACTGGAGACATGGTTCCTGGTCAATGTCCATGAAGTGGATGCTGCCCACAGTAGCGATTTCATCCTAGCCAGAAAAGACAGCAGAGCTTTCCGCAAGACATCGACTACAGCACGGAAACTGTGTAGTGTCAGAACTTGAAAATGGAACACGCGAAGAACAGTTTTGCACACCGAGCCCGCATCCGGTGGCAAAATGGGAGCTATTGGGGAACTGGGCCTGTCCCGCCGCAGCTATGCGACTGCACGCAAACGGACGATTGCATGCCATCAGCCAGGCAGCTACAATCGGGATTGCCACGGCTGTTGATTGCTCCACGAGGCTAGAGCGCGTGTAGACGGCCACTTCCTGTCAGAGGACAGCCCTTGCGCTATGTAAGATACCAAACCCTGCTTGAATTTAAAGACAAAGAGTACCAGAAGTACAGGAGTACGAATAGGAGAAGGAATGGCGGTAGCAGTAGCACTTGCCCGAGCAGCGGTGGTAGTCTGAGTAGTCGTGAGGTATGACTACATTGCATGATGTCTCGGATTGTAACACAAGCATAGCTTTCTTGCTAGGTGACCGAAAATCTCAAATACTTCAAGCTCAGGCGCTGTGCACTCACATTCAGCCACACAGCATGTCGACTACTGAGGTCTTGGGGAAGCCTTGGTGGCTAAGAACCGGTAAGCCCACCTGGAAGGTGCCAATCGAGGTGTCAGCATTGATGAACTCTTGCCTTGCGTACGAGCAAGCCGTGGGCCACAACTGTCCGGGATGTAACATAACTTGATGTATCTTTGTGGTGGCCTCCGGCACCTTTACGACGACGAACGGCTGACCATCCCGTACCAAATTGCTTCCAATACTTCTAATTAACCTTTTATCAGAGAGCATCCTGACAAACGCATGTCGACCTCGCGGAGTTATGTGGCTCGGGAGCACGAGCCCAGCTGCTCCACCCCAGCAGGAACGAGACCAGCAGGACCATAACCTGCCACCTGCAAAGAAGGCTTCAGGGTCTGCGTCTTGAATTGAGGTTTGGCACTTCAGTGTTCAAGAACTGTGCTTGCCCCAGAACCAGCAGCATTACGGGCCGAAACCGTTTACCCTGAACCCAAGGAAAGAGCAGGCACACTAGTTGCTTCAGAAAGCGACTGACAAAATGGGGCAAAGCAGCGTGCGTCGCGTCGTGTGTTCTTCTGTATGGGACGATTCTGTATGCTTGCAGATGCCGACGACTGCTCCTTGATTCGTCTCGCGACCTTTAAAGTCTGCAAGACGGGTGCCCGAAGATGGGTCAGTCTGCAACAGGGGCTACACCTCGCAAAGTGCCGAACTTGATGGAAGCGACTATGAGGCATTGCTGAGTGTCTGCCTTCTGTACCTTTTGTACATGCCACTCTGGAAGGTCGATGATGGGCCTACACTTTCAGTTCATGCGCACCAGAACACAGAACACACACGCGCGCACACACACGCACACTCTCTCTCTCTCTCTCTGTCTCTCTCTCTCTCTCTCTCTGTCTGTCTGTCTCTCTCTCTCTCTCTCTCTCTCTCTCTCTCTCTCTCTCTCTCTCTCTCTCTCTCTCTCTCTCTCTCTCTCTCTCTCTCTCTCTCTCTCTCCACGCATGTATACATGCATGAAACGTACATATAGTTATATACACATACATACATACATAGATACATACAGGAAGAGCAGGTTGCTGTGGATGTATATCCACGTGTGTATATGTACATATACTTACTCAGAGAAAAAATGGGTGTATGTATATATATATATATATACATATGTATACACTGTAGTGTGCATGCATACACTCGCATACACTCATACACATGATTCGCAGGGATGGAGTCTATCAAAGACGTTCGCCTAGCAGGGCAAAATTCGCTCGGATGAGACGACGAGACGTCAAGCCCTGGGAGAGCACAACCGGGACTCACTGCACCACACATACACATACTCTTTCTTCTCTCTCTCTCTCTCTCTGCCGGTCTGGGCATTTCCGCTAAGCATGAGTTGCCAACCGTTCGCAAGAACCTTGCCTGCGATCGCTGGCCCAGAGGGTCTGGACGGATAAAGACGGCGTAGTAGGTCACCTGTTGGTATCTATCTCTCTGTCTTATTACCCCTCCAGCGTCCAGCTTTTCGGTCTGAGCTGGCGTCGTAGCTGTAGCTTTACCCCTCTCAGCTCACCGACCTAGAACAGGAGCCTTCCCTCGTCTTGGAAGCACCGTTCTAGAGCCACCAGAGCCAGACACCATCAGCCCGCATGCCCCAGATGCCAGGAGCCCTTCCATCGGTCTGGTACTGTAGCTCTGTCTCATCCGTGAAAGACGGCTGACCGTGCACACCCTTGCCCCTAGCAGGGGTCTAAATTCTTGATACACGAATCGCACAAACTGCCTGGTCAGCATCCAGCGGTGCATCCCAGAAGATGTCCCCACCCATCTCGGACCTCAGTGATGCCGAGACAGTCAGACCCTAAGGACTGATGCGGAAGTTGTTCTCAATCCTGCTGACACTTTCTCGAGGATATCGCAGCCGAAGTCCCTGAATACGAGAAGTAGGACATCTCGTATGTAGACGGCCCCTACATGTACCTTAAGGTGAGGCTTTTGCTGAAGAAAGCCTTTGAGATGGTTCGGGCTGGCACTGGCATGGCAGTCGCATCTCGTTTGCGGCCGGTTCTCTGCATGTACTTCTTCCAAGCCATGCGAATCTGCAGACCCAGAAGCTCATCCAGGTCCTTGTCTTGAAACGTTATGTTGGAGACGCTGGCATCCGCGTCGTAAATCGCCTGGCAGCACAGATGTGTCCATCGTTTTCGCAAAGATCAACACCGGCCAAAGCTGGCAGGACGCTTACTCTACAAGTACCAGCACAGTCTCTCTGAAACAAGTTCAAGCTCAAAGAGTGCGGGCCGGCAGGGTGTTCGCGTGCGCGGGTTGAATGAATCAGGTACAAATCACAACCAAGTTGACCACAGCAGGCGGGATATACGGCACTTTTTATGAAGGCTCCAAAGGGTTCCCTACAGCTTTTCATCGAGCGAGCTCAGCAATCAGCAATCATGAATGGATTGCTTTGCCCCGGCCCAAGATAAGCATCATCGAAACTTGACACAAGCTCAGCCCCTTACAAGATGATTTGGACTACACTCCCCAATGATTCAGGCCGTCTTGGCATGTCATTTCAGGATTTGTAGCATCTAGATCCGCCGGCGGTAGATTTCACTTCTCGTGCCAAACCTGATGCATGGCCGTTGGACACTACGGGTAGAACACCGGGGCTTGAGGGTCGAGGCTTTGGGCCGCCATGGCACAAGCGCCGATGGCGTCGTCTGCTCCACCAGGGTGCTGCCAGTGAACACGACGAAGTGCGTAGCCGTGTCATAGTAGACTTCAGCTGGCAGAGCTGCCTTGCCCGGTGGCGAGAAACAAAGGGAACTGAGACAAGGAAAACTGGCCGGCTCCGTGTGCTGCAGCAGTCCATTTGCTCAAGAGCGCCCCAATCAAGGTCCAGTGCACATCAAACGATCCTGCCCCCTCTCCAAACACCATCAAACACCTGTGAAGTTGCAGATAAGTTGGAAACATTTGGAGATGTTGGCATCTCTTGTGCCTTCGGATATGCTACTTCGCTGCTACGTAGGCAGAAATAGCCCTCCAACATCGCGGTCGCCTCCTGAAGATGCCAAGGCAGGGTCGACTCAATCTGCGAGCGGTTCAAACCGAACCTCAGCTGAGTCCACAAGCCGACATCTTCGCCGGATGAAGGCCGCGGCATTCTCACGTTTACTCCGAGAAACGCGTCGTCTGCTAGATGCAGAGTGAAGAACGACACCAAGGGGTTGAAGTCTGGCTCGGGAGTGGTCCAAGAAATTGTGCCTTGCGCAGCTCTGAAATTTCCCAGTCTGAAGCTGCAGGACCAATCAAGAGTATTTGGATCCCGACTGACGGCTTTTGGCCAGCTTGGAAAAAATGAAGCGCGCTGAAAGCACAAGAAGAGTGACACAGAATCTAATCATCAAGGCTCCTGGTCTCAAGGCACTGTTCAGTTCCGTTGGATTCTTAGGCCTTTGATCATGCAAGCCGTTCCCTGGAGAGTAAATCTCGCACCTCCAATCTGCGAGTCGTCTAGATCCTTGTCCGTGAAGTTCACCTGGCACCCAAGCTGAGCCCCAAAGGGTCCTTAAAGGTCCCAAAGGTAGGTTGGCTGTAAGCGGAGTGGCACACCCAGCAAGCGCTCATGCGGGAGCCTGATGCGGGTCCAGGCCCGTGTGGGCAAGTTGACAACAGAGTTGACATCGAAGAGACTTGATGCAAAGAAAACTCGCATTGTTTGTCTTAGCCGCTAGACTTCGCCGACAGTAGCTACCAAGATGACCTCGCAGTCCAATTCAAGCGATTTCGCCCCTGCCTGCACGACGGAGTAAGTGTCCGAGATGGGGAAGTACGAGGGAGTGGTCGACTCGACCAAGTAGGATCCTCAAGGTCAGAAGGCAGATGGTTTGGCACCAGACGGCCTTAGTAGAAGAAGAAGTAGTAGTAGTAGCAGCAGCAGTAGCAGTAGCAGTAGCAGTAGCAGTAGCAGTAGCAGTAGCAGTAGCAGTAGTAGTAGTAGTAGTAGTAGTAGTAGTAGTAGTAGTAGTAGTAGTAGTAGTAGTAGTAGTAGTAATTGTAGTGTTGTTGTTGTAGTAGCGGTAGTAGTGGTAGTAGTGGCAGTGGTAGAAGAAGTAGAAGAAGCCGCAGCAACAGTGGCCAGCATTGACGATGGGGCAGTGTAGTCTTAGTATGCTGACAGTCGTCGCAGTGCTAGCTCGTAGTGGCCGAAGTTGGGTCATCGTTTTATTTGATTAGCTGTCGCAATCATGAGAGCAGCAGTGCCAGCCGCAAGCGGCGGCGGGGAATCGGCATTATGTAAGCCTCCCGCCCGTCACCATTCTGGTATATGTGACTTTGCAGCCATCACAAACCGTTGATTTGCGCCCAGGGCTCGAGTGTAGACGACGATGTAGTCTCGATCGAGCCGGGGTGTTTCTGCATCCAGCAGTGCCGACAGCGAATCGTATGGTACCTGACTTCTAACCCACAACTTGCAGTCTCTCGACACTCTGATTGCTTCAGGTCTCGCTCTAAGCTCTATATGCAGTCTTTCAGTGTTCTGGCAGTCTCTACTACTTGAGACAAAGGAGGCGAAGCCAACACAACAATCACCGACAGAAGCAGCAGGCATCCAGTCGCCTCATGGCAACATGCTGCATGAACAAAGAACTCTAACGAAAGCGGGTTCGGCTGCACGACAAAGCGAAGACAATGTGCATTTGTGGAGGACTGCCCCACGCAGACTGTACACGGGACTCCGAAAAGCCCCGCTGAGGTGAACTTCACGCGGCAGGTGCCTCGCTGCCGACCATGGACCGCCCGGCTCCAGAAGCATTCGCAGCAAGGTATACCAGGTAGTGCGTGACCTGTGCTTTCTTGCAGGCACCCGTGCCTGCAGTGTTCCGAACATCTCCAACGAAAATGTCATAAAAAAACCTCCTGCTTCTCAGCAACAGGGTTCCCCGAATCATCGCGTGACTGCACATGAGTATCCATGGCCTGCGAGGCTTCCAGCGGCGGCTCCCAGGAAATATTCCCACCAAGGTCCTTGGGAATGCCCACTGCGAAAGTTGCAAACTGTTCCAGTGACCGATGGTTCAAGGTGAGATCTCTCCAATCTGCCCCGATGGGCCCGTGAAGCCCCCAGCTCGGAACTTCAAACTCTTTCTCACTTGCGGTGCCACTGCTCGTTCTTGGGACAGTGTTAGTTAGAAGCACACCGTGGCAGTGATCAAATCACTCCCATCTTGAAGAGATCCAGATCAACCACAAGTGGCAACCGGGTTTCTGCCATCCGGACATTGCAAAGACGACAGGACTGCAGGAAGTCTAGGCAGTTCAAGTTCAACATTAGTCATGAGTGACTGCCACGTCACTATGCCACGCGCCGAAGCTGTCCTTTATACGCGTATGCTGCCGGGAAGCACTCAAATCCAAATCCAGGTCCAGGAAGGAAACATTCAGCACCTAGACGACTTAGACAGATTCTTCGAATCGGCTTCGAGGGTTGCAGCTCAACTACTCGACTCTCATCGGCATAGTGGAAACGGCAGTATTCGCATGCGCAACGAGGCTGTGGGTGCGGCATGGGCTTCACGAGACGAGGCTCTCCCTATAACTCTTCATCACGAGCTTGGGAAGCCGCGATTCCTGCATGTACTGCATGCTGCACGACTGCACAAACTCAAATTATCCAGTTCATCTCGGTGACAGGTGAGATGGTGTCGTTGATTGGCGCCGCGAAGGGTGTGGTCCGCTCGGCAATCAGAGAGCTTGGAAAAACTGAAACCCAGCCTCAGCAGCCAGAACTACCCAATGTTGGGGGGAACACATTCAAGCCAAATTGTTCCTGGTTTCAAGAATGGGTAGTGGGTCATCTCGCCGCAGACATGCTCTCGATATCTAAATATCCCTTACTCGCCAGTCCCGCAAGGCAGGACCTTCCGATACCTTCAGTGCCGTCCATGCTGCTTGAAACCCCGTGGAGTGCAATCTTGACATGGCAACCATGCACCCAGGAACAACCAGAAGTTCCGGCGCAGAGTCCGGTGAGACATCGTAAGATGGGGGCTTACCCGTGTCAACGAAGGGCAACGCATACAAACAAGCAAGTATTGTTGACAAACCATCCAAACCAGTTGGGAGGAAAGGTGGTTGGTGCGTTGTGAGGCTGGCAGACGCATGCAGGCAGCAAGCTTTGACTCTAGAACTAGGCCCCATGCACATAGGTCTAGAGAATGGGCTTCGGCCCCTTCAAACTGTCTGCCTAGCTGCTGTAAGTTTCCAAAGGCGGTTCGGTGTCGGGCGGGACGAACAGCTCTGCAAATTCCGCCGGTGCGACATCCTGGCAATGCAATCGCGAAACATCGACTTGCAGGCGTAGGAAGATTCTGACGCAGTCTAGATGTCAGTGTTTCGAAGGAAGCATTCCGCAAGGCGATCTTGCCATCATGTCAGTGCGATGTCTCAAGCGCTGTGCTCTCTTGCCAGCATGTTGTTAGTTGCAGTGACGACCCAGCTTCAGATCTGGGTTCCTAACCCGATAGATCGTCATCCTTCCAAGATCCGGTGCCTGCCCCGCCCTGCTGCGCCCCGTCTGCCAGGTGTCGTTCTCGGTGAAATACCTTGAATTTGTTTCAAGCACCGCTTGGTCGGGAAAGTCAACTCAGCTTCGCCGCCTTGCAAGCCTTCGAAGTCATTCAAGGCCGAAACGCACAGTGAAGTTGGCGATGAGCTGAAGGTCACGTGTGACTATCCAGGTGACATTGCCGCCCAGCTCCTGGTATGAGCGGAGGTGGGGTGGGGTGGGGATTAGTTGCTTCAGGTTCGTGGAGGTACCATGTTCTGAGAACTTCGCTTAGTTGCAGAAGCTGCCAAAGGATGCCCGACGTGTAACTTGTCGGAACGTGTCAGAGTCTAAGTAAGGTGCTTCATCCCAACATCCTTCAGGCTGCCCTCACGTGCCAAGCCTTTCTGGCTCTCCGGAAAGTGTCGGCAAAACAGCAGAAACTCGAGTGGGTCGTGAAACTTTACGAAGACGAAAGCTCGTTCCTTCGGACAAAATCCCAGAGATGCCACGGGTAAGTCTGGCTCCTCTTCATCCAAATCCTGGTCCAGGAACTCCACATCGCCAATCTGCCTTGTTGTTGGCAGCTTGCAGGCTTTACAAGATGGTACTGGTGCTATTGATACAAGCTTCTAAGCTTCTGGGCCTGCACAAACAAGTCACTGCTCGAAACCTGGCCTGTGCCCAGCTGTCTGTTCCACTTGTACCCCTCATCCAAGCCACGCGTTCGTGTCCGAGATCAGCAGTGATGCCGGGGTCGTCTGCTCAATCACAGGCGACTTGGTGTAAATGTTGACATACTCGAACCACCCTGAGAGTGATCATTTGGGCGAAGCATGTCTGAGCCGGCATTCTTCACGGCGCGGGGTGCGATACTATGCAGAGCCCGGGTCTCTAGATAAACCAAAGCTATTCAGCTATCTGCTGCTGGCACATGCCGGGACCACACTTCTGCCCTCACCATTGGCCACAGGCAAAGAACATCGCAGTCCAACCAAAATCAAACTTAGTAGAACATGCTGCCCAGCGTCGGATGGGCGTCTCAGCCGGCAACTGAGCTAAATTTGTACCGATTGGGAGGTCCTGATGCAGGTGTGATTTTGTAGGCTTGGCAATTTTTGTGTCTTGCTTGGGGTGCTTGGTCAGCGGAATCAACGGAACGAATTCTGGAGCCAACACTGGCTCCAGTCACGTTGCTTCGTTTCTTGACTCGTGCACGTGAAATCACGGCTCTTGAGCAAAGCTTTGTCGAGCCTTCGGTGCCCAGCAAACTCTAAAGCGCCAAGCAACATCAATCTGAAAGTCAAAGCTACTTGATAGGCAGCTGTCAAAATGCTGCGAATGCCGGCCATATAAATTTGTCTCGAGCCTCCGCGACCCTTGACCGGTTTTCAGCATCGAAGGTGGCTGACAGATAAACCTTGGCTGCAAAGCTTGTGCGCTTCGATCCTTCATCAAATCAGGTGATACCGGGTACACAGAGTCTAGGAGTCATCGTCGAAAGATCCCCTACAATCGTGGCCACCAGGCAAAACCCCCAATTGTCTGTCGGCGGACACAATCTAGCCTGCACCAGCCTCAAAAGCTGTCATCATTAATATCTCAGCATGCAACATGTGGCTGGCGTGCGACTTACAGCCGTTCTTGGCGTTGAAAGCTGTATCTACATAGTCCGTCAGGGAGACCTGATACCTCATGCCACAGTCTGACACCATGCTACCGAGTAGAGCGTGACTTGCGAGAAGTCGATGGGCTTGACCCAAGTAATATCGCCTCCCAACTCCTGCGCAAGCTTGTCAGGCTTTGGCCTTGCTTTTCCTTCGATGCCACTACATGCCACTCATAACTCATCATGATGTCATGCTGTCGCACCGGGGTGGAAGGGTTTTCAAGGGAATGGTAGGAGCTCTGCTGCGGCATCACACTGACCTGACCGCACCGGCTACACCTTTAGATTGATTACCCGGTGTGCGCCAGGTAAAGGCTAGAGGAAGAGCGGAGAGGGACAGAGCGAGCGAGCGCTAGCCGCTAGCCCTCCAGTGCTGGAAAGGCAGTATGCCATGCACAGGACTGGTCTCCTCTTCGTCAAGATCCCGGTCAACGAACCTGAACCCAAAAGCGGCGAACCGTGATCTTGTAGATTGCTCGATGCTGGAAAGACTCCGCCGACCCCTGTGGTCGGCGTCCGGAGGGAGTTTCTGAAGAAGCGCTTTCCCACAGCGGCATTCCATGCGTTCTAGCCCCCTCTCTTCCCGACGACCTTTGGCCAGCCCGCCCACACTGTCCTCAGTTAGTTTTCCCACCCCACCCCACACCCCACCCCCGCCCCAACCGGATCTCTCAGTTCTCCGAGCCGACGCGCACAAGCACCGGCATGATTAGAGAGCTTGGGATCTCAGGGTACTGGGGTTTACAATGGTTTACAAGGCCTGGTGCTCAAACTTAGAGTTACGCGGGTTCAAAGGTTCGGTGGCCGAGATGTCTGGGGTTTGCTGCTTAACGCCACGCAGAGTGCAGCCGGAAATGGAACTGACTGCTCCACCAAAAGGCTGGAGGGGGTCGCGATACGGGGTGCGGGGTTTTATCGGTGGGAGCGGAGCGTGCGAACGGGGTGCATGGGCGAGTCGCAATAAGGGTGTGAGTGCGACTGTATAGAGGTGAGGGTTCAAAAATGCTCTGTCACTGCTCGGGAGATCTGCCTTGGGGATGGTTTTTGGGTTCCCGGGTTGACCTTGTTGTGTATCTGCATTTGCACATGCAGAGGTTCGTATTTCTGGGGTATTTGTATGTCCATGCACAGGCTCGTATAGACATTACTACATATTAGTATCGATTATATATGTAGTTTATTTATGCATTATGTTATATGTACATGTGTATATGTATGTATGTATGTATGTATGTATGTACGTATATGAGTACTGATATAGGTATCGGCCGATGCATCGGCTTAGGTGTAGGTACTGCAATGCTTAGAGTTCGAAGTTATTTTGTTTTATCGATTCGGCCATGCCGGCCCATGCCACCAGGCCCTTAAATAGAAGGATCGAGCAACACCTTGACATTACCATTCCAACAGGATGTAAAGGACGTCAAAGGACCCGCTTCAGCTTTCAGGCCAGTCCAGTTGTCAGGAGGGATCTCAGGCTGAGGGGCACAATCCCGGAAACGGAAGAAGCGGTGTCGTTGAGCTCGAGAAAAGATGGAGTGGTCTGCTCGACCAGCGAGGACTTCGTGTAGACAACGATGTGGGTGTGGGGTCCTCTTGGCGGAATTTAAGCCGCGAAGCTTTCGTTGCGGACATGACATTTGGAGGTTGAAAATGTCCGGAATACCGGGGCAAGTCAGCCTCAGCTCATGCCACAAGTACCACGTTAGCTGGCCGGGGAGTCCTTGCGGCTGCTCGGGCAGGAGGTCCACATAGTTCGTGCCTTTCGGGATATCCTCACCTCACTGCAGATCGCGCTTTCAGTTCGAAAACAGTGGGTTCCGCAAGCTTTCACCCCTCCAACGAGGCTCCAGCCGTTCTTGACAGTTCGATAAGAGGCTTTCAGCGTTGGGGGCAGGATAATGAACAAGTCATCAGCACTGTAGTGCAGAACGACACAAGTTTAAGGTTGAGAGCGGATCTACTAAGCTCAGACATTCACGTCCCGAACAGCCACATGTGGCCGCAACATCATTAACACACTGGCAGGTTTACGTGTTCATTGCATCCTCGATCTTCACCCCAGGGCCAATAGGCCTATCTGGGAACGGAGGTCGCCAGAGGTGTTCGCAGCCAAGTAGACCTCGTGAAATTCCAGTAAGATAAGCCAAAGTCTCTTGAAGCTGATTGCACTGCATGTCTGGAGGTGGCTAATGTTGAGAGGGACTGCAGACCACCCGAGACACAGAAACGCTCGAACGTGTCAGAGCTGTTCTGGGGTTCAGTTAGCACATTTTGTTGCTCAACCTGCTGCAAGCATCCACTTCTGAACTTGGCAAATCCATACAATTGTCATTTGTCCAAGGAGCCCGAAACTTATTGGGGCTCGGCGAAGGGCAGAGAGTGCCAATTCTGGCCAAAGCACGGAGTAGTGGGCCACGAGCACGACTTCAGCTGGTGGCAACCAGCTCACCTTCTCCAAATCTTGGGTGGTGTCGCTCCATGATACTAAGAATATGCACTTCCACGTGTTGAATTGTTGAATTGAAACCACGAAGGCAAAGCTGTTCACTCTTCTTCAATCCCAAAACTGTCCGACTATTACCAGGCCTGTCCCCCGAAGTCACCACCGTCCTCAGTGCGTAGGTTGACATGGAGGGAGGTCTCTGGATCTGGGGATGCATTTTGCGTGCCGACGACTTTTTGAGCATAACAGGGTTTGACGGGCATCCCGGGTTCCGGCATGTGCTCATATCCCCTCGCCAGCCCTGAAACCGAAACTTGCTGTTGCACATCCAGCCACCAGGTCCATATCGAAGAAAGACCTCACTCTATCGGTCGGAAGCGGTCGATACTTCAACTGCGCGGGACTCAGGCCACCACACCTCTGGAACATTCCAATCAGCATCACCTCGACAAACTATGCGAGGCTATCCTGCGATTTCAATACCTCCCAAGCTACAAGCTGCCATGAGGAGACTTTGAACACAGCAGCGCGCTTGTGGTTTAGGGCCGAAGGTCACTGACAGCGCTTCTGGCACTACTTATGCCAGCGTAGATCCCCAACAGTGAAACAGCACCAGGACGAACATGACAACGACGACGACCACAAGGACCACAAGGGCTACCGAGACCACCAGTTTGACCAGGGCAACCAACAGACCACAAGACCAGGAGACTGTGCCCAAATGCTGCTCGACAGGAGGATTCGTGAGACTGGTGGGTCCAGGACCACGGCCAAACTACTTTCCCACCGCTGCCGAATTTCGGGAGCATGGCTTAAGCACTGGCGGGATACAGAAGGACTACCAAAATCCTTTCCGACAAGTAATGCTGCGATTCGAGGTTTGCGCTGGGTTTTTCAAGCCAGAAGATGGTCCAGTGTCCCGGAGATTCCCGGAGACCCGTTTTTTTACCACTGAACAACACAGGACAGGAGCACGAAGTATGCACCGCGCCAAAGCGGGGGCCACGCACCCGGAAACCTTTTTCTGCAGCCGCTATGTGGCCATCGTGGCCAGGTCTCTTTACTCCTAGTGTATGAACCCCATAGTCCGTAGTGTTACAATGACAACACTGTGTGGCCAATAAGAGACTCAAAGAAGCGAGCTCAAGTGCTGGTATGCTGCTGATGTTGATGAAGGCAGGCGTGGTTTGCTCAACCAAAGAAGATCGAGTAAAGATCACCTCAGTCAGCTTTGGGAAGTGGACCAATCAATGAAGGGCAGGAATGGCTTCTTATCGGGAGCCGGATCGTGCATCACGACCCAGCAGGTATGTTTAGCCTTAGCTGGCTGAGTATGAATTGCACTGCACCAGTTCATTTCTTATTCTGCACTAGTAGTTGCAGCACGCTCGCGACCACAGCATACTCTTGGACAAATCAAGCCAAGATAAGCCAAGGTTAAACAAAGAGCGGTCCCCAATGGTCCCCATGACTCGCTGCCATGACCAAGGTGCGATGTGTGTGCTCTTGCCCAGTGGGAATTCAGGAGGCACAAAGACATCGTGAGTGCCGACAGGCAAGGACTCCTCGGTGAGTGCTGGTTTAGCAGATTAGGGATGAATCAAGAGACAGCTGGCTGCACAACGAATGATGACTGCCCGAAACCTGATCTTCATTCATGATTTACTTCCAGAGCCCTGCGACTCGTTGATTTCAAGTCCTCCAGCCTCCTGCCAGCGATGTTCCCTCATGCTACAGGTGAATTACCGCTGTCTGCTGACTTGAAAGAGTCCTGACTCAGTCTGCTCAAGGAGGCGCAAAATGCGCGAATCCGCTGAAGGCTGAAGCTTCATACTAATGCATCCGGGTTGCATTGATGCGGGACAGAGAGTCGCCAATGGCGCTTTCGCTCAAGTACCTTGCGCTCACCATAGCTGGAATTCAGGTGTGTCTCCGGTGTTGTGTGACTGACTGTGGCAGCTATGCTGGAACTGCAGCAGCCGTGCTCTCACTCTTCCGTGGAGACATGCAGGTCGAGGTTTTACACTCGCAATGGCGCACAAGCACTGTACTGCATAGCAGGCCGTCGTGAAGCTTGATTGACATGCTTCGGTACCAGTAAGACACTTCGTGGAGTACCTTTACACGAAGCCCCCCAATGTGCAGCTCTGGTCGCAAGTCGTAGGCGACCACCAAGTCCGTGTCTCCAGCTGGCGACCAAAAGATAGTACCACCGAGCTCCGCACCATCCAGATCCTCAGTAGAGCGTCGGGTACAGCATCCGAGAAGCAGGACTGAACCTGCATCTCTGGCCAAGCTCACTCACATGATGCCCCAACAAGTCGCCCTAGAGACATCGTGTGGGTCAGCCCTGTGCTGCCCGCCGCCTGACCTGGACCTGACGTGGACCTTGCGGCTTGCGGACTTAGCCAGGGAACGAGGTCTGTGAAGTTCGTGTCCGTCACAACAGACTCGGTGTCTTCCAACTGGAATGCCTCGGCTTGGGCGGCAAGCATCGAAAATAATTTTACTTTGAACATCCCGCCCTAGCGCCTGGTCCTTCCTACACGCAAATCCTAAGACCTAAAGAACCCGAGCCTAAACCTTAAACCCTGGTGTTCCCAAGCACTCCCGCGGGCCGCCACGCTGCGGCCAACACAGCAAGATGATTAGGGCTGATGTTTCACACGCGTTGTGATGGGGGTTTAGGTGTGGAACAAGTGTGCTTGTATTGCACAAGATGTTGTACAAAATATGACAGAAGAGTACGTGTGGAAGCTGCTTGTGACAAACGAGCCCGATGCATTATGAACTAAGCCTCGAGGCTGCGAGGCCCCGGCAGACTCAAAGTTGGCATTGGGCACTCCCGGGAATCTCACGGTAGTCTGTGGGGTTGGGCACTCCAGGGATTCTCACGGTAGTCTGTGGGCTTGGCACTCCAGGGATTCTCACGGTAGTCTATGGTAGTCTGTGGGCTTGGGCACTCCAGGGATTCTCACAGTAGTCTGTGGGCTTGGGCACTCCAGGGATTCTCACGGTATTCTCAGGGTAGTCTGTGGGGTTGGGTACTCCAGGAGGTAATCTCAGCGGGCGAGGAGTAATAGCTGACTTTAAAATCTAACAACCCCACACCGAGGGTGGGGAACAATTAAAGTGCTTCTTTTTGAGGAGTCGACAAGACGTGTGAACAGCTAGTGCATGCACAAACGAGGACAACCAGGCAGTTTGGGGCTGCGCTGCTGATGCCCAACTCTGACAACTGAACCCGTCACACATGAGAGAAAGTCCAATCCGACCTAGACCTAGACATGCCCCGAGCTCAACATCACAATGGTCCACAAACAAGAGAATTGCCCAGGTGAAGCGCCACTGGGGTGGTCTGCTCAGCAAGGTCGGACTTGCTGTACACGGTGATTCGCCTTGTCTGCAAAGATCAATGCTGTGCCGCGGCGTCGGAAGCTTAAGGGTATGCGATTGAACAACCTGCGCACCTGTGCCTCGTGAGGATGAGTCCAATTGATTGAACTCTGACAGGGTCGGAGTCCCTCTGAGACAGACGCTGGTACGAGCCAGTTGTGTGATCTGGTTGCAAGAGGGCAATGCGAGACCTTGGCCGAGCTGTGCCGAGCGTAACTCCAAGTTTTCAAACATCGGAAGCTCCGTCCTCTGGCTCTGGGCTCCGAGCGAGTTTACGAAGACGTCTGTGCCGATTTGCGACCGTGACCTGCCGGTTTCGTCGAACCTGGGCTTCCAAGGGAGAGGATTCGCTTCGTGCCATCCTACATTTAAGTCACACACACACACACACACACACACACGGACAACTGCGCGTTGGAAAGCAAAAGGGTTCAAACCTTGCACGCTCTGAAAAGCTGTAAATCGTGTGGTTGACTCCAGAAACTGAGCCCTTGCAGAGAAAGACTGAAAGACGATGTTGGCAAGCAGCGCCAGGTACACACGATAAGCGGCCACCTGGAGACAGTTTTCCGGCCAGAAACATCACTGCAGACAGTTGTCACGACAGCTTTCAGGGCGGCAGTGCTTTCGCGCCTGGGAGGACTCCAGTGGTGTTTCCCAGTAGACGTGGCCCCCGAGGTCCCCGAGATCGAGGTCAAGATCTGTGAACGTCACCTGGGGTCTAAGGGTCAAAAAGGGCTTCACTCCCGGAAGCAGCCATGTTGGGCCATGCTTTCAGCCATGCTGCATTCTGCACGTCGGATGAGGTGTCGCTGATTTCCAGCCCCACCGGAGTCGTCTGCTCCACAAGGACGGAGCGAGTGTAGACAACGATGTGGGAGAAGAGCCCCTGGCTGCGCGCTAGTGGGGAGAGACAACAGCATGCAGCTCTCAAAGAGATGATTCAACAATAAAGGTTCGGGGGATCGCCCTTTCAGTGGAGAAGGCGATATTGCGAGAAGTGTTCGCGACCCGAACTGAACATGTCGTGGCAACTTAGTGACTTAGTCGGCCAATTCCAGGCTCCAATCGACAACAGTTACGAGGATGGCTGAACAAAGTGCGAGGCCGTCGTCATTCTCGTTTCCCAGGCGACCCGACGCTCAAACAGCCCAGCAGACAATGATATATCGACGCGTCAGTTCTTGCATGGCGACACATGCATAAGGCTCTGTAGGCAGGCACACACACACACACACGACTTACTGTACAGTTGCACAGGCAAATCATATTCCCAATCTCCTGGCTTAATAAATGCGCTGTCGACTCGGATGGCACTTCCCCGACCCTGCCGTCCTTCGTCAAATCCACTGGCACGCTCGTCTGCGCCAGGCCCTGTGGCATTGGAAGCCCGAGCTGCGAGCGGAATGCACCAGCACTGCTGTTGGCAAGATACCTGAGGCCATGCGCAAATGTTTTCAGGTTGGCGTACCGGCTTCCACGTGATACCTCTTGGGTGAGGCACACATCGTAGAAGTGGACAAATTCAATGTCGTTGAAGGGCTCTGCCCACGTGACATCGCCACCCAGGTCATCAATATCCAGATCCTCCCCAGTCACGTACATGCAAGACTCCGAACATCTACCCCACGCATATCCATATCGGTGGAAGGGGAGATCGGGTGGCCGATATATCCTACGTCCTAGTTATGGCCCAGTCTTATTGTAGACATACAGTAGGACGCCCCACTGTGAATAGATTGGCTGCGACGATTGCGACGGGTATTTGTGTCTCTAAGAATCTTGCTCCCGTCACAGTTCCGCACAAATTTGTTGTTGGAACTCGGTTCCTGCCACAGCGCCGTGAATGTCTTGAGGTGCCGATTGTCACAGTGCGGTCGACATTTTGGACTGATGGGGGTGTTGGGGGCCTCAAGGGCGGTTGTCGATGTTTCTTGGGTATTTTGGTGTGTATGCTGGCATAGTGAGGGCATGGATTTCCACAGACTTTGAGTTTGTGGTGATTCGACGGTTCCAGTCCAAGCAACACATGATGTGCGCTCAACCTTGCAAATCCCAAATCCTCAACCTTGCCAATTCATTGCATGTCCCATAGGAGACGAGCCTGGTCTACGAATTGAACTGACGACACGCTCGCCACAGTGTCGCTGATGTTTACAGCCATTGGGGTGGTCTGCTCCTCAGAGTGTAGAGTGGACACGCATAGCATTTTTTCGGCTTGCGGGACAAGCGAGCCGGCTAGTGCGCTGGGATAGTTGCAATTGAATCTTGAGGCTCGGTGTCGAGATTCTCCACGATACCGAAGCTGCAATACATGGCAACACATTACATCATTGCTTAACTCGAATGCAACAGTTGATGGACGACTCCGCCGAGATCAAGCGCTGACGGGGTTGTGGGGCCATCCAGACAGCTTCCAAGTCTCAGGCTCTCCAGATCTAGTTTATCCTGTGGGTTTCCTCGTCTGTCTCATATCCTAGGTCCTAGTCACGAGCCTTCCCAGTGGCGGGCCTTTGCAGGGCCTCGTCCTGCCCGACAACGGCTTTGAGCACTTACCCGTTGAGAAACTCTCGAACACATTCTGAGAGCTTTCGTTCTGTCATGCGAGCACAATAATTCGTGGCATCCAGGCTTCAACCGTTACAAAGTTGCACGGCCGTCAGGCTGCCAGGCCCGGACAAGCCATGCCAGCATCCTCACAGATCCCTCCCATGATTTGTTAGCCTGAAAGCTTATGTCACACTACGTCACACTACAAGCACTCGAACCGCATGGCCACGATTCTAGAAGTACAAGTAGAAGCTTTGATGTTTCGATGCAGACGGTGCGCGCATTCGATCCGAAGGATCCTCACGAAAAAAAACCACCCGGACATAGACTAAGTCAATTCGATTCAAAGAAATTTACAATCAACATCCTTCAGGTCTTGGGGATCCTTGGGGGTTCAACCCGAAGATCGCGAAGCTATGTGTCGAAAACCAGGGCCACTGTCGGTGTCATGCTTGAGCTGAAATCGTCAGCACACCTCTTCATTTTACCAGGCATCCACCAGGATGGACTTGGTGTAGAGGAGCAGATGGGTGTAATTCTCAACCTAAGGAAAGCTCTCTATTCTCTGAAACTTTGAACCTGATCGAGTTCAGCACGTGGCCATCTCAGATACACTGAACACGGATTGTCTGTTTGGACACCTCCGGTCTCGCAAGCGAACAGACTGCAAGGGTATTCTGATAAGCTCTGCTGGTTCCAGCAGTATAACGTCAGGCTCTCCAAGGAACAGCCGTGTCTTCGCTGATGGAGGTTACCGTCGATCCTGCCTGCCAGAATCTTCAAAGACTCATGAGGGGAATCCAAACCGTCAACCAAACCTGTCAGGACTGCAGGCATGCGTAACCATGCGTACTGTTGTATTGACCTTCCAAGTCAGTAAATCTGCCCTGGCGTGCTCCCGCTTGTGTTGGCACAGATGTCTTCATACGTGTTCCAATTCGCGGGGCCATTCTTTCTCTGCTCTATTCTGCTCCGGTGTCACGAACAGCAGGTAGTACCAAGTGTGAAGGTTACATCAGCTCACAGATGATCCTTTAAATTTAATGCACTCCACAGCAGCGACGGCCTCCAACTCTGCTATGTGAGCTCTGTCTGCCCCAACCGGTGTTGTGGCTAGGTAGGCGACATAATGCGCAACCAGGCTCGCATCCTCGGATGTGCGAGGAGTGATGCCTTGATCGGATCCTAACCACAACCATTCCCGAAGACCGGAAACTCCGTAGACGTTGCACACAAAGACATCTTCTTCGGCTCCTACTCTCCACACTACCGAAGTCTTGCTTGCATCGAAACCTGCCGCCCGCATGCACACGCACACACACACACACACACACACACACACACACACACACACACACACGCACACACACACACACACACTCACTCACTCACTCACTCACTCACTCACTCCCTCACTCACACTCACTCACTCACTCCCTCACTCACACTCACTCACACACACATGCACACACATGCACACTGATGGCAACACAAGGCTGTCGCTGTCCAGCGACAACCGGTTGCTGCCAGCTCAAATTGCCGCCCAACTCATCCCAGTCCAAGTCCTGCTTTTCCAATGGGGCGCTAGACACGCTCCACGGCACACGCTTCTAAGACTTTTATTGCATCGACACAGCTGCGTGAAAGTTTGGAACGCTCAAAGCCGGCATCCTCTTCTAGCCTTTTGCCAGTTGCCACGTGGTTTTGAGGCAATCAGCTGTGATCCGGATGATTGGAGAACTTGCTGGAACACGTCCTGATCGGTGAAAAGCAGACTCGTAACATAGCGGCCTGTGTCACTGATCCTTGGCGTTGGTGCTGCATTGCATTGGCTCGACGCAACCCGTGCACATCTTGCTTGGGAACTGCTGAGCACATTGCTGGCCGACACACGCAGAAACACCATCCTTTGCCCGCCCTGTGCATATTCAAGCGGGTAAGTTCAGGATGTGTTGTGACTTTGCAGGGGCATGGCAGGAAGAAACCCACAATACAGCTGCAGATGAGCACGACATGCAAGGAGGGTTCCGGTGATGAAGGGCCGGGCCCTATGCTCGGAGAGCTTGATCCGAAGAGCGGGAAGGCCACAGGCGTCGACTGCTCCGCCAGGCTGGAGCGGGTGAAGACCAGGATGTGACGAAAGGACCTTTTCGGGACGAGACTAAGAGACTAAGATGATCTACTGTACAATGCTTTTTCGATTGAGATTTCCAGCTTCGGAGTCTGTGCTAGGGGGTTTGTAAGCTAGGATGACCTGAACCTCCCTCTTGACATCAGCACTGCATTCCTCACCATGTGGCATTGACTAGAGCCGTCGTGCTAGTCTTACTTGCGCGTTCTCCTCGATCGTCGGGCATGTCCTCCTACCGCCCCAACTCTGCGGAACTAACTGATCGACAAGCAGGACACCTCTGTACTCTCTTTACCGAGTGGTGAAAACTACAACCAGCGTCGACGAACTGTCTTCACAACGGTAAAACGATTCGATCCGTGGTTCACGTGCATCTTCCAAGCTAGCAGCTTGTCGTCAAGTTTTATGCCCCGAAGTCACATGCGATGTTTTGATCACGAATTTAGCAGCAGCGCTCCACAAGCAGCTACGAGTACGAGAAGATGCTCTCCATTGGTGAAGCATACTGCGCAGACCCCATGGAGCCTCAAAGCGGTCTCGGCTGCCAGCTCAATGGTGTTTGCAGAGGCCTGCATCAGCAGGGCGATTGCTAGAAAGACTGAAACGTCCGGACTTGCATTGAAGGGACGACGGCGACAGTCGAATTCACAAGGCATCCAACTGCCACAGCATGACTCGATTTGTCCATCATTGATCATTGAGGAACTGTACATCTTCGACGACTCCGCAAGTCAAGTCTTCAATAAACTTCGCATAGTTGCATGGCTGGAGACCAACAAGCAGCCTGCCCAACTTGGATCTGAGAGCGGCCGGCACCTTCACTGTCCTGCAGTAGACATGCGCATTGCGACACTTCCCTGTCGCTGCCCATGATCGGAGGAGATGGTAGAATGTAGATACTGCTCACATTGAGATGTCTTGATGTGCAACGGGCTGCGCGCGGCTGCGAGGGTGGCCTTGAAACTGCAAGAGGCACGAGCGGTTGCACAGAAATTGGGCGAGTCTTATGGAACTTGCTTTTATTCGGGGGAGGACAGCCTTCTGTGCTTGTAGCATTGTGGCAACTATGTAGTGTAAGCCCTGAAAGCGCGAGGTTCTTCGACACGCGTTGCGACAGCATTTGCGAGCCCCGGTCCTCTGACAAGTAAACGTCCACGAAATCAACCAGGTCCGGTTGCTGCTCCGGTGGAGGGTCCAGCCACGTCACCTTGAAGCCGGGTTGAGTCGGGGAGTCGCTGTCTTGAAAACATACACTGGCCGAGGGCCGAGAAATCACTTCAATATTTCCTCTGGGGCCGGCTATAGGCCTTGCTTGCTCTTCAATATCAAGCAGCGGCTGGGAAAGGCATGGGAGTGCCATGCGGCCAGATCTGCACAGCGCTTCAGGTTGCGGCTGCTGAATGCAGTCATGAAGTCGGAGAGGAATTTGCAGTCTTGAAGCGCAAGACCGCTGCAGCCAAGATTAAAAAACGGCGGGGTGCCCAACTTGCTTGCGGCTGCTGGCGCTGTTCTGTCCAAGTCAGTCAGGCAGAGAATGCAGCCATCAATTGGACTTGCTGCCCAACGCCAAACGCATGAAAAGCAAACCTTCCGGCTGGGGCACGTTTCCCCCGAGCTCGTCATCGTCCAGGTCAAGGTCTGTGAAGGAGACGTTTCCTCACGAAAATGATTTGCGGAATTACGGTAAGGATGCAAGACCCATTGCGACGATTACTCTCGCTTCTCAGCTGGTGAGGCGAAGGGAGGGAGGGATGGGGGGAGAAGAGAAGAAAGGGTTAGAGATAGCGAGATGAAAAACATGAAACCAGATCGAGCGAGGAGGAAGGGTGGTCGAACGGTCGAAGCCTCTAAATTGATTCTGTGCTCGGAACATGTCGCACATGTCACGACAGCAAAACTCATGCAAGTTCTGCCTGCTGTGCAAGAGTCTAACAACTGCAATGGAATCGTTCAGAGGGTTGCCCACCGGTGTGGTTTGCCTCAGGCTTCCGGGAGTGCAGGCTCTTGTAGGAGCGAGGGCAGAGTTCAGGTCGAGACTCGTGTCAATTGCTTAGCAATCAACATGTTTCAGCAGCAATCAGCAGAGGCGCATACAGCAGCTCACTGAGTTCTACCGTGTCAACTCTTCATGCGACACCGCTCTTGTCAGACTTGCCCAAGCTTGCGACTGTGCAGGATGCGAGACGTCTGCAGCCCTCCACGCTTTTGCCAAAGGGCTCAGCCAGATTCGACTCTGTGTAGATGAGCACATGGCTCTCGCCACTAAGAGCAAAGTCCTGAGCCGGTGAACACATCGAAGTGCTACGAGTGCTACAAGTGCAGTTCTGGGGAAAACCCGCGGTTGCAACAGCAACCATGTTCAGAGAGACACGCGTGCATTGCCTTCTTGCAAGCGGCCCCGTGCATCGAGCTATGACTACACATTCTGCCGATTTCCGATTGAGTCCCGATGCTGCTACCTTTGAGTCGAGTAAGTGAGTAAGAACTTAGACAGCGGAAATCAGTCCGCCCAAGTGGATGCCACACTCTCTTTGCGCTGGAGTCTGCTTTGTCGCCGGGTTTCTGGGGCCAAGTCCAACTCGGACAGGGTGACATCAACCGAACCATTGGGGATTTTGAGCCAGTCCTCGCGAAGCAGCAGTCTCACGACTCGGCCCAACAGGAACAACATCCTGACGAGCTAGCTGCGGCACTTTCAGCACGGCTCTGGTCCTGTGTGCCATTCACGTGCTGGCCCGCAGTTAAGGGGTCTGCAACACTGAAGTAAAGCCTGTAGCGCACCACCTTCCGGAGCACAAAGGCAGTAATGGAAGTGCAAGCGGACTTCTGAAGATTCGTCCTGTGAGGTCAGATCGATGAACATCTATCCAAAAACCTGCAGCTTTGGTGCCTGTTGTCGATCAGGCGGTCGTTCCCACGTCAGGGTTCCGCCAACTTCACCCTGTGGACACTGCGAATGCGCGCCAGCACACACGGTGCATATCTGAACTGAGCATCTCCAGAGACGGGACGAGCATGCCAGACAGGAGAATTTCGGTTGCTCCCCACACCATCAACCCTACACTCGACCTGTCTCAACACAGTCGAAGGGCGAGGCAGCGCAACAAGAGATCTCCTGGATCCTTCTCAAACATTCTAAAAAAATCCACAGGTCCTCGTCCAGGTCCAAATCCAGAAAATCCTTGAATGCACAGATCCGTCAGACACTGTGTAGACGCTTAGAACCATCTCAAGCAGCATAGATACGTGGGTGGTTGTCAAAATTATGGTCCCTTTTTGGGTCCCTGTCATAGTACGGCACTTAATGTTTACGGCACCCAAAAAAGGACCCTTAATTTTGACAACTACCCACGTGGAAACCCGGCTCTAAGATCCACCCAGGCGTCAACTCCCGACACGCTGGCAATCGTGTCGCTTATGGCCACTGCCGCCTCCCAAATGAAACGCATTCAAAAGCACGTATCGAGCTAAATGAACAGCGAGACCCCCAGTTCTGCAGTTAGCCGCTCTCAAAGCTGCCACACTGCAAAGACGCTGAACAATCGTTGCAGCCATGCCAGCTTTCAGCTTGCCTAGAAACAGAAACAGATAGATAGATAAATAGATGGAACTACTAGTAAGAGCCAGCTGGCTGGCTAGCAGCTAGGTAACTAACGAGCTAGATGGATAGATAGCAGATAGCTAAGTAGACATCTGCATGTATGTATGTGTACGTATAAACACTGCATACACATATGCGCATGTTTACCGTATGTATGCCATGCATACTGTCTACATGCAAGCCTTACAGTGACAGCAGGCAAGTCCATAGGCATCATGCTTTGAAAGAAACATTCAGGATCTGCGGCGCGGACCGGTGTGGTCTGCTCCAGGAGCACAGAGCGTGCGAACGCGGTCACAAAGCCAAGCTGGCCCTGAGCACACCAAGCTCACTGACTTTCAGCCCTTCGCCGACATGCTCCTGTTTGCAAACCCATCTGTGCTCGTAGGACATCCGTACAAGAGTCATACGAGTGGAAAGCGAGCCCACAGACCAGGCTTCAAATTATAACATGCATGGTCTTTCTTTTGCTCCATGTGCAACTCCGATAATTGCTCGTCTTGCATTTCCAAGCTACCCTCGTAGTGTCCGGCAACAGCAACAGCTTGTTCGTCCCGACGAGCTCTTGTCCCACCTCCGCGGCGGCTACACTCGCCCTCCACTATGCCCTTCCGCCCTCCCCCTCACGAACTGGCGCAACTTGTACGGAGGTGCAGTTTCACTTCTGTACATGTCGCAACAGAAGTCATCTGCCCATGCTTGAACTTCGCTTATGGTTTTTCTTATGCGTAAACGCAGCAGACCTTGCATGCTGTTGTTCCTCTCATTGAGGCACCTTCTGCCGGCCAGTTCCATCAGCACCAACCGACAAATACAGGACGTAGTCAGTCGTTCTGACATTGTCGGCCTCAGGCTGCCATGCAGGCGGACAAGCACCTGGGACCTGCGTCTGCTATGCAAAAGCTGCGGACCTGCTGGCAGGCAGACAGACACACAGGATGACACACAAACACACACACACAGACACAAAGACGGACACAAAGAATACAAGTAAAAGATGACATAATCATGACGTACAGTATAAGCCGTATAAGCCGAAACAGGCACACACAGAAGCGAAACCAGCCCGCAAACCGCTGCCGATGGCAGAAGTGCTGCAGACCCCTATGTCATCTTACAGCCTAATCTAATCGGCCCAGCTGCTGGTGGATTCCACTGAATCCTGAGCTGTCCGACTCGAGCTGGGAACAGAAATCGTGCGAACAATGCATGCGGCAGGGGCGCGTGCCGCCGAGGTCATCGTAGTCCAGATCTTGATCCAAAAAGTCAGCATTTCGCACCATGGCGAATGTGTCACCTTGCAATCAGCATCAAAGCAATCTAACGATTGATCCCCCCACAAATTTACAGGAGATTACAGGAGCACAGGAGCACCTGGCCAGGCTCTAGTCTCAGACTCTCCCGGGGGCCCCGATGAAACGCTGCGATCAGAGTCGTCCCTTGGACAGAATTCGTTACCTTCGAAGTTACGTGAGCCATGACACAGTGCAGGATTCCAAAACCTCAAGCAGTCAAAAGACCTGTCTAGGATCTTCTTTTCCCACAGTTGCACACCCTCGGGCTCCGGTGGCGCCCAGGGTGGTGTGTGAAGCTCTAACGACTGCTGCTTAGATGCTTATGGGCAAACTTGCCGGTGTGCTCTGCTCCGCCAAGAGTGACCTGGCAGGGCTTGGCTTTTGTGATAGCGGGGATCTGGGCAGTTCTGTGCTGCGGCCGTTCGTGTCAAAGATTAACCTCAAGTCTAGCACGAAATACGTACCGGTTTATGACATGGATCATGCTCAGGGCATTCCGTACAAGACCCTGAACTCCTTTCTGCAGGGCTATTGGCCCTGTTACTGAGTTAGACGAGGCCCAAATTTCACAAAACCATGAACGGCCAAAGGTCCCGAAATCGAGGAGGAAGTTGCATAAGGTCAGAGTCTGCGTGTTGCTACGCATATCGGGGTTGAAGGCCAGCGCAGTAGGGCCTGGAGGCCCAAAAGCGCCCACTGCTCAACTCTCGACTCGAAAGCCATGCGCGACAAAATCCTGAAAGGCCCCGTTCTGTGGTGCCTGGTGTACACAAGCACATGGGAGTAGTTCTGCAGGGGCTGCTCCTGACTCGCTGACCACAGTCGGCTGCAATGCACACGTCTTCGGGCATTTGGATAGATCCTGACGTCATCGTTCGTCCCTCTGCCCGAGAAACACCGGAGTCAGTCTAACGGCTCTCAAGCAAGAAGCTATGGAACCCTCCTGAGCACATCCAAACGGATTGTGTTGAACCAAGGCACGGGCTGCACGAAAGCCTCCTCTGTGTCGGACGCTTGGGTGGCAATCCTGTGCAACAAAGCTTAACATATTCCGTTCTGGCTTCGTGATGCCTCGCGTCTGCAGTGTCTGCAATATGCTTACCGATGCCGAAACTCCACGCCGCGGTCTGTTGATGAAACGTGCCCTGCAGCATCGTACGATTTTCAAGATCGTTGAAGATCGACCTGCATGCAGCCTACGGTGCTTCTGAAACTGCAAGAATCTTTCAGTATTCGGGCAAGTCACTGTGAGCGGGCACCACCGAAGACATCGGAAGCAAGGTAGGAAACGAAGTGTGACACCTCCCGAGATTCAAAGCAGAGGCTGCTCGACGGGTCGCTCGATCTAGCAACGGTGATGATTGAACGCATCAAACCGATCAGGTACCATCCGTGTGCTGGTGACATCAAACTCGTCGTGTTGCGTTGAGGGCCAAAGAAGTTCAAGGCAGTCTCAGCAGTTCAGGACGGGAGCGCGATGGCCAGATGCCGGAGACGCACAAGGCAGACCGGCAGACATGCTTCGGAGCCGCCTGTGCCATGTCATCCGGTGGCAACCACGTCAGATTACCACCGAGCTCCTTGTCATCCAAATCGTCGTCCAGGAACTCGATGCTGGACACGCTTGCGTTCGTATTGTTGATGACCTTATCTCCATTGATGCCATGAAGAACCGGATGCAAGGACTGCGCCACTTCGGGAGCATCAAACAGATCGAAGGTGAAAGCCGTGCAAAACACTAGGGTCTGAGACAGAGGTCTCACTCAGTCGGGGCACGAACACATGCGGTGTAGACTGCTCCACGAGAGAGGAACCTCAGCTTTCGGCTAGTGCACCGGAGAATACGGAGAGTTCACGGCATCTTGGTGCTAGTAGCATGATTCCTGCATTCCAACGTTGCATCAAGAGCGGCGAGCGACAAACACACAAACTTGAACTTGTAGTTGTTGCAGATGCACTGTCAGGTCTAAGCTGCCGCCGCGGGGCGGGTGTAGACCTGAATGTGCGACAACGTGCCCTGAAGGAAGTCTACAGGAACGTGGATCAAGTTCGTGCCCACCTGCTGCGAGCGAAGCGCACACAAGCAAGCACCCACGACTCGATGCTGCTGTGCAGGCGCAAGCAGGCGCAAAACCATGAGCAATCAGCACCCAGCGCATTGAATCCCAACCGAAAAGCATGCATTATGGCCAGATAATGCCAAATAGATAGTGTTGTTGGCGGGTACTGGTTCCTGGAATCCATATTGCGGCGGCGCAGCACCAAATAGCTTAGGACATTTCCAAGTGCACACCAACATCGGGCTCGTCTAGTCTCAAGCCCGACAAGCACTTCCGTCCTCTTAAAACCTCTACTGCCGAAAGCGGGGAAGTGAAGCCCAATTCAGAACTGCAACACGAAGACATGCCTCGACAGAATGTCCCAACTGCGATCGGTTCGTTCCTGTAGCATCCGGGAATTCAACCTCGGTTTCGAAACTGACCGAATGTGATCGTAAAAGACTTCGTGGCGAAGAGCATGTCACTACACGTTGATGGAGGCCATTGCCCGGCAGCCTACAGCAGTTTACAGTTTACATGTCCATAGCCACGAGTGCAGTTAAAGTTATCCCCCAAACAGAGGGACACCTTGTCAGCCACAAGTAGAGCCAACCCGCAATCAGTCCCAGCAGCGAAGTAAACATCATAATGGGTGACGTGCGTCAGATCCTAAGCACAAGCAACTTCGAAAAACCACACGGTCTATTGCTTTGCTTTCAACTGAAAGATCCGAAAGACATGGTGGAGATGCTCCGTCACGTGTTTGCCTGTCTTCATGGCCCGGCATCGTCCAGCCACACGATGTGAAAACACGCATGGAACAACCAAGTGTGGACCAAACATGGCAACCTTAATTCACACAAGTCAGGGTCGGCCGGTGCTTCCCAGGTAATTGGTCCGCCAAGCTCTGCCTCATCAAGGTCCTTTGCCACGTGTGGAAAGGCGCTCAGTCGGAACATGACTTGCCCCTCCGTTTATGAGCTCCTGCTCTTGGAAGGCCCCGCCACTGACAGAGGCATTCACGTCCACGATAGCGAAGCCTCAGGGTCGAGCTGGGGCCGAGAGAGTACAACTAGGAGGCCTGACGCAAAGGGCGCAAGGTCCATGGAGCTAAGCCTGCAATACGTGCCCCTGGAGGTCTGCAGAAGCGCAGTGTGAAGTGCAAGTTTTGGATGAGCATCTTTGAATGGGAAAACTCCCATGTAGCAAACCCCGATGTTGAGCGTTGAATGGGTGCTTGGTCGGTGAGCTCTTCAGTTGCAGGGATGCCATCGAGACACTCACGGGGGTCGACTGCTCTGCAAGCGTCGACTTCGTGTAGACCTGGGTGCTCGGGCTCTCACCTATAGTTCTCTCGCTGAGTGTCAACAGCCAAGCTGCGAGGACCTGCGCGTAATCGGACCGGGCCACAACGTCCTCAGGAGCCAAAGTAACCCTTCTGAAACCCCAAGGTCTGGTCACGGCTGGCCAAAATGGTCAATACTTCTTGGCTGTTCTAAAAGAACGCAGGTTCACAAACGATTTCTAGCGTTCCCCGGCCCACCCCAACCATGCCACAAGACACTGCAGAAAAGGTTATCGTTGCTACCAAATCAGTTTTACACCTAAGCCAGTACCACCAGAAAAGGCGACAAGCAGACAAGACTCCGGCTCGCTGATGGGCTGCTCTGGCAGCAGGCTGATGTCGAAAGAATTCCATGGAACTTCGGAGCCCACCTGTTGAGGATGCCAGACTGCCCTTTCCTCAGACAAACAAACCCTTTAAACAAAGACTGAATCCTTAGACAGCAAAGGAGGGGATGCCCTGGAAAACGCAGCAGTCTTGTACTTTGGGCAACTAGCCCATCAATCTCGGATCTATACCACGTTTAACCAACATTCATACCCTCAGTTAGCGTTTATTTCGGTGCCAAAAGTTTGCCTCGGCTTGCCCCTGGTTGGCAGTCTCGAGACTCAGAATCAGACTAACCTCTTTCAACAATGCGAAGCCCTTTGCAGCATAACGAGAATTTTCTGGGGCATGCAACAAACAGAGTCTGGAGATGCTGCATTGCAAGGCGACGGTATGGCAGTGGCGACACTTTGGTTGATTTCCAGCAGGTCCATCTGCTCTGCTTTCTGGTTCGTGCCAGCTGCACTTCTCAGACGGAAATAGAAGAACACCCCGCCACGAATCTCCACGATTCACTGCAGCTCAAAACACTCAGGACAGTGACGGCTGACGTGCCTGTGATCGGTTTCCGCCGAACTGATCCTCGGCTATGTAGACGACCTTGCAGAATCGGAGCGGCTTGGCAAAGGATCTGCGGGCTCTAGAATCACTGCCCTTGCGAACCTCATGTTGAGTGCCCGTACATGCAAAGACAAAATCTGAAAACAGATCCGAAAATTTGTTGTTCCACATACGCTGCACTCACAGGATCATGAGAATCAGCAAATCTCAGAAAACAGCACAGCAGCCAAGATTTGCCAAGCAACGTAATGTGCCACCAAGGCAGGATCGGCAGGCTCTTTCCAGCTGATGGTGCCTGCGGTCGGGTCCAACATTGCGACAGGGAATGTCCGGCACAATTCTATCAACGAGACAAGATCTTTTGTCAAAGATCTTGGGCGGCTCTTGCAACGCTAACGTGGAGCATGAATAGACTCGTGAATCGCTGGCCAAGCGAATTTAAAGCCTGCAGCAACCCTACAAAAGATCGTCCTTTCCCGTAGCCATGGTAATCCCCACACTGGCCTCCGATTTCGTCGGCGTCGAGATCTCGGTCGGTGAAGTTGATCGAGGACACGCTCGAGTCGGTGTCCTGAGAGAGCCAAGCCGTGCGTGCAGGCGAATTTTGCAAATTTCCGAGCAAGCCTTAACAACTTGACTTGGTGAACCCAAAAACAAATCCAATTGTTTTCAAGGCTGTGAAGATGTCTGACTTCTCGGAAAATCGTTGCTTCATGGGCTCCCCAACACTGCGGCAACAGCGCAGTGTCTGCAGACGAGCAGCGTTGAATGCAAGCGCCAGTGGTGTGGTCTGCTCTGCCAAGGAGGAGGAAGCATACCTTGTGTCTTTACACTTGACATCTTTAGCTGCCTGCGCCCCAGATTGCCTTCATATTTGGGATGCCTCTGTGATTCAGCGCAAAGGAGTGGAACCCCGGATCACCCACATGCACAGAGGTCTGCGTAATCGCAGATTCGGCTTGCCTCTCCCTCTTTTAATGCCTCGTGGCCTGCACCCACGACGCCTTCAGCAAAAAAGCATTCGTTGACATTCAGACTTGCCGGAAAGACGAAGCCTCGAGCCACGACAAGCGAGCTCTCTGCAACTGAATTGCACCAGGACGGTGGACAGAGTGCCCGTCGGCTGGTCGGATGGAAGATCGATCTGATGCACCTAAGGCACAGCCAAGCGATGCCAACAGTTCACAGAGGGCGCAGCCAAGCAATGCAGCCTAGTTGGGCCTAGTTGCATTTTCCGTCGTGTTGCCCAGCAGCGATCGCAGGCTACCATCTGCCTCCGCAAAGTAAACATAGTATCCGGTCACCTGCACGGATGAAACATCCTGGGGACTAATGTGATCGAATCACAATCGCTGACCTTCCTGCTGCGCGCTTGCTTATACTTGCTCTCCTTTTCTACTGTTCGCACCGTTCTTGCTTGATCTTGATTGACCTGCCGATGCCTGCATATGATCGGGCGAGGGCAGCCACGTGACTTCACCGCCCAGCTCGCCGGCATCCAAGTCCAAGTCCTCGCGTGGGGGGGGGGTGGGAGGGGGGGGAGGGGCTGCAGGGCTTCCGGGGAGTCTGCTGAGTCAGTCGGGCAGGCCGGCAGGTGGCGCAGGTCATGCCTCTTTGTTTGAAGCTCTTGGCTACCTGTGGCAGAACAGCTGGTCATCTGACCGGAGGCCTGCGCAACACGTCTGCAACTCCTGTGACTGTTTGGAGTTCTTTGCCTGCAGCAGCAGACTACAACTGACGAGAAGATGAGAGGTGTTGGGCTATAGGTTGAAGACAGAGTCGTGAAGAGTCCCTCAAGACACCTCAGCCTAGCAGGCCTACAACCCTGATAAGAACAGGATTTCGAAAAGCACCAGAGTGCGAAAAGCAGCCGCACCTGTGCAACGAGACACGGAACAAACAGGACTGCCGTGATTGACAAGAGAAACTCTCGGGAAATTTCAACCGCTCTGCTTGCACTACATGTACTACACCGACAAAGTCCCGTCTTGAAGCCACCATCATCCCATCGAAAATCATGACCCTAGCCGCCCCCGCCATCGGGTCCGTGAAATTGACTTCGAGCACCTGCGAGGCAGAGTCGCTGAGGGCGAAGGCCACGGGGGTGGTCTGCTCCACGAAAGATGATGCTGCATACCTCGGAAGTGATCCACAGCCAGACTCATTGCCCCAGCTGCGGCGGGCCTCGAGTGCTATGCGGGCTGATGAGAGCCTGCAGCGACCATCATACTCCACAGAGCTTTCCAGCAATGGCTCTTCTAACTCTGCATCCATCTTTAAGCCAATGGAAGTGGCTTTGTTCAGAAACTGAAAGGCAACCAAAAGCCAAGCCCGCGGGCAGGGGGTCGCACTACCGAACCAATCGCGCGTAACCGCAGTGGTGGTGCACCACAACGAACTGAGAGCTGTTGATGGCATGGTCCGGGCTCAGGTCGATGGAATTGGTCCCGACCTCATTTAGCTGTTGCTTACATCTGTTTCGTGACTGGCCTCTGACATGTACGTGCACACCATTTGCAAGGACTAGAGAGGAGCTAGAGAGCAGCTGAAGCCTTCGAGCTTCCGCATTGGCAGGTTTGGCTGGGCTTGGCCCTGACTCGACATAGAACTTGAATCTCACTGCGCAGCAGGTCCGGCCACCTGCCCAACAACCCGAATCCTCGATTCTCCGACCGGCGGAGTGATGTGTCTTGACAAGACATGGCTGCCGAGTGTTGAGGGCGCGGCGACCACAAAGGTCCCAACAAAGGAGCGACCCAAGCCTCGCAGGAAAGCGGTGCAGAGCCGGAGGTTGGGCTTTGCGTTGAGCGCGCAAAATCATACTACACGCCCGGTTTGGTAATATAGGCCCTAGGCAGGGCTAGGACGGCTTGGATATTGGCGTTTCAGGTGAGGTCTGGCAACGGCGGTGCGGCTGCCTTGCCGCTTGGATTCTGTGGCAACTACTGTTACTGTTCTTGTTGTTCTGGAGATGGCATTGCCGATGGCGGGTGGTGGCTTTACCATCAGTGGCTTGAGGCGCTCGTTGATTGCGTCATTGCCCCGGTTGACCTCTGCTTACGCGTGTGAGCTGCTACGTATGATTTTGTCGACGTCTTGGTTGATTCCGATGGTTGCTGAGCAGTTGATGCACAGCGGCTTGGAGGTGTGCAGTGGTGTGGGCTTGCGAGAGCCAGGGAGACCAGTTCTGCGATGAGACGCCGGACAGGTAGTTTATTGCCTCTCGAAACCCGAAGCATGATCACAACTACCTGCTCGTTACACTGGCCTTCCATGGACTCAGCGAGGTAGACGTAATAGCCGGCCACCAAAGTCACCGACGTAGGCGGTGACCTCAGTGATTGACGAATTAAGCATCTTGACTGGCACACACATGCTGGTGCGAGGTGGTGCAGAAAAGCTCATGCAATGTGGCGACGTGATGGGTTGACCTGCTAACAACACAATACAGAGGAATCGAATCGCTGAATTTCAATCCGAACCCGAAGAATGCCACTGTCAGACTTCCCATGCGCGACACCGCCGCCAACAGAGAGAAAGCAGGATTCAAGGATTCAAGCAAAACATCAAAATCCTCTAACGCCTGCGAAGTGCCAGGTAATTGTACCCCCGATCTCGGACAAGTCCAAATCCTGGTCGACGAGCATCAGCCGCGATACCGAAGCCTTGGACTGAATAAGCATCGCAATGCGACAGCTGTTGAGTAATGTTAACTACCAATAACCTATGGCCTAATCACCCAATTCTCACGGTATCTGGTCTTGCAGCAATGCAACAACTTCATCTGTGATCAAATGCGATGTAGGCACAGTCCTGGGCGGATACAGGAACATCCGGAGTCAAAAACACTGCAAAAGAGATCTCGCACCACTTGTACCTTCAATGTAGAGTCCACGTGTGAAAATCAACTAAGAAGTGTTGGAAAAGCCTGGAAACCCTCTTACTCTTCCCGGATACCCTACGATTAGTGAGTACGGTCTTTGTGACATTAGCACAGGCCAGCATCTGTTCACTCACGTCCGTCTTGGTGTAAATCAACAGGTGTGTGTAGTTCTCCAGCTCGAAGTTGTGCCTCGCATAGCGCGGATCTCTGCATTTCGCTGCAGCATTCAGTGCATCCACTGTCACAGTGATTTCGGGGATCCGTGTCGTGTGCTCAAGCACGTCAGCTACGGAGAACGCTCCTGGCTAAGGCGGCTAAGGCAGCACTTGCCCCCATCCTGAAAATCTGAAAGCCAAGAGCCAAGCCGCCAAACCATGTAGCTCGGACACGGGCGGCCCTAGCGGCCCCAGCTCCTACACCCTGAAGACTAAACGACAGGAGATGTGATATGTATAGGCGGCTCATGGAGCTTGGGACTCCTGGAGGGCCACTTGCAACATCGTGCTGCTGCGACATTCTCCGATTTCTTCTGGAGTTTGAGAAACCTGGCTAAACGGTACTGCAAGCGCAAGCGTCAAAATCTTGGCCGAATTGTCTGCGAGTCCGGGAGCCGTCGTTGTGTCGGCAATTGTGCTTGCGTAACTTTGTATTAGCGTATTCACCTCCGTCCTGCACAGAGCATCATTTAGCGATACTCAAAGCCTCCAAGAGCAGGATGGTTGATGGTTGTTGCACAGCCGGAACACCCTAATTTCCTGATTCCTTATCGAACGACGCAGCCCCGGCGTCAAGAATCGATCCAGGCCCTGCGTGTCAGCAGAGATGCGGAAGGACAGCAGCAGTGGTCCCAAACGGAAGCTCAGGCGCTATCTGTGTCCTGATCGGCACTTAGCATATGATTGATTGCTTGGGTGCTTGGTCGAGTGGTTGGTGGTTCACCGATACTGACCGATTGATTTGTCGGTTGGTCGCTTGCTTGTTGGTCGATTGACTGACTGACTGACTGACAGAGTGCTTGATCAACGTGCTGTTTGGTTGATTTTGGCTGATTGACAGATTTATGTGTTGGTTGGCTGGTTGATTGACTGATTGAGCGCCGGTGGGTGCGAGCAGCTTGGCTTAGTTACTCAATCTTCATAAACTACGTACCGCCACGATCAAGTCCGACAGGTTGCCAGGTTTCGTCCTCGAAACCCAGCCGCATAAAAAGCAAGATGCCATACGGCCCAATATCTCTTTGAGCCCAGAGTCTAACCGTGCTGACCTGTGCCTCTTCTACCGACTGCACGTCCAAGCTTATGACTGCTAGCTCATGCTGATGAAGCTGTGCCTGTGACATCGATCGCATCCCATAGAACTCTGAAACAATCATAGGTTCCCACTGCCGGCCTGTTGGAACCCAGCGCATCTTCTGCGGCATACAGAGTGTAGTGCGTAATGGTGGAGTTGTCCTGCATTGGATGGTGTCTTGCTTCGGGCGTGGAAGGAAATGCACGTCCACGTTTAGGGGCAGCTCACCAGAGGCAGAACTCTTGTTTCCTGGAAGCCCTCTATCATCTCAGCGGGGCTCTACCGAATTAAGGCGTTGCTGAATTCCAACCCGTGTGTCCTCTGGGGCCACCCACTCCAAGTAACCTCCTTGGTGGAGGCGACAACATTTCAACCCTGCGGTCAAGGCAAAGCACGTACTTAGGGTTTCAAAACCAAGTTGCCAGACTCGTTCCCCTCAAGAAGTCACTGGCGCGACTCATTCCAAAGCGTCGTGCTAGCAAGCAGTGGAAGACATGCAAGCATCTAGCGGAATCTGGCGTGTGGCAAGAATCCAGGTCATGTGCTGCCCAGCCACCAATCTGGAGCGGATCGAGATCCAGATCCGTAAAGCGAAGGTACGGAACCGAAGAGATTGTGTCGGAAATCTGCAAACGAGAGTGATCAAATCGGTAACTCTTCTACTGAAACATTCCCGGAAGACAAAAAGAAGTCTGCAGATCCGACTCATCGAGAGATCTCTCCTAAGAATGGTGTCCAAGCCAACGGCCTCAAAGAAAGCTGGGGTGGTCTGCTCCACAAGAGACGACCGAGTGTACACAACCACATGCCTCAGCTGACAGGTTGCCACATCCGAGAATATCCGAGATGTACCAATCTGAACACCCCACTGTCACGTCGTGCTTCCTGCAACATGCGTTTCCGAGCTGCGTATTCTGGTGCAGCTGCGTGTCGGCAATGACAGTGACATTCAAGGTTCCCTCCTGCAACTTTGCGATTCCGCCAGCTGACAACCAGGCACACATCATACCCAAACGTTACGTTAGCTAGAAGTCTCTGATTCAAAATTCATCCCCTCAAGGCTCCGGAAGGTCAACGTCGATCTGTGACTTGGCTGTGCCAGCAGCGTCTTGCGCGAGATAAGCAAGGTAGTGCGTGACCCTGGCCGGAAGAGTCGTGAGGCCGAGACTTAGCTTCTGGAGACTAGATATGCCGTTTGATCCCAAGCCGCTTCGTAGCGAATCCTGCATGCGTTATGACCTGGCTTGCGCCACGTGCCTCGAAACGTCGCTCGGAGGAAACCAGGTCACCTGGGAGTCGAGAATCGATCTCTGGCACATGCTCTGTCGCCACTGCAAAAAGGTTGCAAAGCGTAACCGCGCGGTGGATCTTCGCCGACATTCATTACAATGCAAACTGCCCACTTACATCATTGACACATCTGCTCCGCAGTTTCAGAACGCAGCGTGCTTCCTATGCTCCCGAAGCCGAAGTCCTCTGACATGCACGGATCGGCCCCGCTCCCCGTTCCGGCCTCGCCGCCCAGCTGCCCAAAATCCGTGTCTTGATCAATGAAAGCTACCTGAAGCCACACGCAACAAAGCTCCCGAAGCTTCAGGCCCAAGAGTTCGGCGTCAAAAACGGGACCATGTGTTTGATGCAGGCACAACTGGGCCGAGCCCGACATGCGAAAGCCTACGGAAACGATCCACTGAACAAGATGCTCCCCATCAAGGACTCTTTAAACACCCACTGCAGAATGATATAGAAAGATACGCCAGATACACTGCTTGAGATGTGGCAACCATGCCGCAATCCCGGAGTAAACGAAAATTGCTACCACCCATACTCTAGTGAAGATCGCGATCTGCCAGGTGGTTGGATAACCGCTACGCTGTAGTAGTCGCAGTAGCTGCAGATGAGAATCGAGCCCTCTAAACACAAGCGAAGACCTTCGAAGATCGACTATTGCTCCCAACCGCAGCAACAAAGCATTCTTTAAGCCTCTGGACCCTGAGTGTTCCGTTTCCCAATGAGCTCAACGAATGAAGCCACTCGACATCAGTGCTGGCAAACTGGGAGACCGCCTTGCATCGCCTTGCGCTGAATCACCCAACACTGCTAATGGCTAACCATGCCCTGAACCATATCATGCAGCCTCCCGCATGCTTCCACTGACGTTCCCTCGACAGTCGCCTCATCCACACTCGCCCTGCAGTAGGCATATTTGTCGTGCTACAGTAGAGCCGAGACGCTTGGGACACACTGGCGATCATATCGTTGATGGGCAGGGCATCCTGGCTGCAGATGCCTACCCTGCGACCTTCGACCTGCCAAGCCAGAGAACAACATCTGATATGTACAGAGAAAATCGCCTGCAACACACTCCGTAAGGTTGCCGGTGCAGTCGATGTTAGTGTGCAGGCCAGAGATGTGCAATGTCGATGACACAAGGCCTTTTGCAAAGAGACAGTGCAGCTGAAGTGCTGGAGTCGTTTGCTCCGCCAATGTGGAGACCGTATACACCAGGAGGTGGGTGCTGTTCTCCTTGATAGTCTCTGAAGGAAGCAGCTCCTTGTGCGGGTGCGGGCCGGTCTCGAGGGCAGGGTTTCAGCTTGAGAATACACAGGCAGATCATTCACGAAGGTGATCAACGGTCAACGTACGGACAGTTGCGCATCTCTGAATCTCAAGTCTGCTCACTACTACTGTCTATCACTCCAGCACATGTTCAGGTACGCGACACCTAGTTTCGAGAGGCATGATCCAAATTTGTCGAGTCACCTGGTTCGTTCCGACAGCGGTCTCCAGCCCCAATGCCTTCAACAGAAACTGTCAATTTGTCTGCGGCAATAATCTTCAGACCATGTTGAACACCGATGCGCTAGCTCGTGCATGGTCTTGGGTACTTGACCTGCCCCATCCAGCTTTTGGACATGTACGTATTCAGCCAACTGAGGCTGTTCTGTTTAGCTATGGCACGCACAGCAACATGCCACTGAAAGCGGACCGTGAAGTCAAGCTGGTGCTCTGGCGTGCTCTGTGGAGTCAGGGCTGAAGATGCTGTCAAGATCTCTCTGACTATGCCGTCCTGTGGGAGTATAGGAGTATCAGTATAAGGCACCAACTAAGCTGCCGCATGCCCAATGATCAGATAAGTGTCAGTGCGCACGGTCCCCTCGACATCTTCTGCGAGATAGAAGCGGTAGTGAACCACCTGTGGAATGCTGTGCAAATCTGCAAGCTCGGGACGTCAGGCGAGGGACCTCAGATTCGTCTGCCGGTGGCTGCCACAGGACCACCTTGACCGAAGCCACACGAACATTGGGGTGAGCAGAGAGAGCATTAGGACATGTGTGCTTTTCATCTTCGATCGGCAGCTTGGACCATCATGTATATGGTACAGTAGAGAGAACTTGTCGAAACCATAATTTGCTTGTCATGCCCATTCAACACACAACCAGTGCTATGCTCGGTATCATGCGTCGGAATGACATGATTCCAGCTTCAAATCGTGCTGTAGCTCTTCGATGAAAGCAGCTCAGGCTCACCGCAATCTATGTTATGGATGAAGGCAGATGGACCGACCGTGCAAGAAGATCACACTTGGCACCCAAAGCATCTCGAAGCCCGCAATCCAGCATTTAATTCATGGCAGAGTCTCCCCTCCTAGGTCATTCTCGTCGAGGTCTCTGTCTATGAAGCTGGAAATTTTGACCTGCTCAAGACTGAATCTAGAAGGCGGAGTTTCCAGTTTCAAGTTGCTGCAACGTGCAGGAATGCACAAGATGGTCATGCAAACACAGAAGCCGGACCTGTTTGCCACAACCACTCTTTCAATCTGTTTCCGGAGATTCCCTTGAACCCGCTCTTCTGCTGCACGAGAATCAATAACCAAAACGCTTCAATCTAGGCTTAACAAAATGTGGGTGGCATTGCGCAGGCATTTCTGGTGTCGACTGGGAGTCACTTCTCCGTCTCTCCCCGGCATTGTCGCCTGCCTACAACCAGTAAAAGTCGAGCCAAGAGATACAACAACCCATCCCGAAAGCATCGCCTTGGCTACTGTGTCGTTGATTTCGACTACCACCGGAGTGGTCTGCTCGTAGAGCGTGGACCTGGAGTAGACCTGGGCCCAGGTCTCCGAGGCAGTGCGGCGAGGAGACGAGAGCTCGGAAGAGCTGCAAAAGCCGACCAGCTAAACCAAGGCCGCAGCGGCGATGTACCAGAAGACGCCGATCTGCATATCCTCGAGATCTTCACACAAGAAACGGGTGAACGTGACTGTGTGGTGCTCGGCTTATCACGTTGTGGGAGGTCTGGCATACTGCAGCAGTTGCCTCCCTCATGCTGTCGTTGGGAAGCGGCGAGAACGAGCGCGGCCGTTTTCAATCTTATTCAAGGTCGTGGTCTCTTGTTTAGGATTCTCGCGCTGGGGCCGCACTACCGCGTCACCCCAGCAGGGCCCAAGCAAAGAACCGCTGGAACCGCCAGCCCTGAAAGAAGCAAGGGACAAGTCTATGGGCCCAGGGATGGATGCCCAGGGTTCGTCAGGGAAAGTCGAGTACGATCAATCCTGTTAGCAGCAGGCATCATATTCTGCGGATGCGTCTTCAGGTCGTTTGCCACACTCCGCCAGGACACTGCAATTCATATTCCAGTCCCGCTGGCGTTGTCATTGCAACCCGGCGTCTGGCATCACTGGCACGGTGTTCCCTGCGCCCTTGGCCACATCGTTGTAAAGCCTGCGCAAGGTGCCGCTGGTGTGGGAAGATTTCGTGACAAGCAACTACAAGAGGAATCACACAGATCGTACCTGCATCTGCATGTAGGCACGTCTTCAAACCTTGAGTCACGATTGCTGTCGTCTTTGTCTTCCTCGAGACCACGGTCTTGATATTGATTGTTGCTGCTCATTCGATGCTAATTCCTCCTACAGGGCCTCCAAACAGGTGCATTGCAATCCGAAAGATCCTCACAGGTATGAGATGGTATGAGTAGCAGTATGATTCTTCAAAACAGCAGCTCAGGGAACCTGGATTTGCCCAGCACGCCATCGGATCCAAACGATCGGTAGACAGTGTAGGCAGCTAAGCGCCTGGACAGCAGCACGTCGTGGAAACAAGCACTTCCAGTCAAGGCTAAGGTGATTCTGCACTGCAAAGAAGGTAACCCCGGGTTCAATGGGCAGCGTTTTTCTCAGACAGGGCATGGGGCTGCTGGTCTTCACCAAGTCGATTTCGTGCAAAGCTCCCTACATAAGAACGACATGAAGATCGCTACGAATCTGGAATCTGCGAACGAGTGCCCTGTTATGAATACCTTGAAACGACAGCATGTGCTCGTTGTCCGTAAATTTGCAAAACGCCCGTCCCACAACAAAGAAGGGGCACTCTGAGTCTTCAGGCTCGGCCCAGACGATCGTGCCACCCATCTCGCCAGCATCCAAGTCCTGTTCAAAGGGCGCTGTACGCATGATGCATGGATAATGCAGGCATGGATTCGTCTCGGAATCTGCGAATCCTGGAAAACCTGGCCGTTCCATGTCGCCCTTATTCTTCGCAAATATACGATAGCATAAAGGCATGCATGGCCTTGTCCACGAAGGTGACATTCGGAACAGAGGAAGATGAATCGCCTCCAGCCGGGTCCGGTCAAGGCAATCATAAAAAAGAGCACGACCTTAGCCTTTCCGTAGGACCTAGGACGATCACGGATCAAGTTTCGGATGGCGTCTTGGCGAATTCACCCTCCGCAAAGCCTCTCCTGGTGTGACATTTGCTGTGCTCCGAGTGGCTCGCTGAAAGGAACGCCGGCGTGGTCTGCTCTGCCAGCGATGACTTGGTGTAAACCAAGAGGTACGGCTCCCAAGCGGTGTCCTTTTTAGGGTTTCACGTTGGCACCCGAAATTGCAGGTTGATCAGGACCTGCGGGTTGCGGGGGTCAGATGTCGAGACTTCCAGACATCGTCTGCGCCCTTCCCTTGTTGCAGGCTAACACAGTCTTGCTACTGGTCATCTATGTGCCTGCCTCCACGCTCTCAATCCGCAGCCCTTGTGCCCAATACCAAACATGCCACGCGACTACATGAGGCCCGAAACTAAAATGCTACAGCAGCATTAGAACGTCGTGTAGACAGCTCTGATCCTCCATCAGAATCTGCTGGTTCGTGCCGACAGGGATGTCCAGGGTGCCTATCTGAGAGCGCCAGGCACCGAAGGAGTTGTTGGCCAAGTAAGCGACCTTCGTCAGTCGCAAACTATCAGCCTTCCAGCCTCTGCGATGTCTTCTGCAATGTGCTGAATACACGGTCAATCGGGTCGCCAAACAAATCAAATCGAGGTGCAACAGATTTCAGGCCAGAACTTGCTGACTTTGTGGGCTCAGCAGTGCAATCCCTTGTTGAAGCCTCCACCGACGGACTAACTCACCTTCTGTCTTGATTTCAAAGTCATGCCCAGTGCTCTTCAGATAAGGCTCATAGTGAGTGACTTGATCAAGATTCGCGGGTGGCTGCCAGATGAGATCACCGGCAATCTCTAAACCATCCAAATCATCATCCTGCCAGGCACGGGTGCCAGTGTTTAGCCGTCTTTTCCGAGATGCCATGGGATGTTGGTGGATGTTGGCCGTGCCCGTGCAACTGTTTGACCTGTGCCGATACCTAGGTAGCTTGAGATCTCCAACGCACGAGAAGCTGGAGCTGTCGTTTCATGCACAGGCTGCATTTATCTTGAGGTGCGTCGCTGTGAACTTACATGCGCCAGCTTGCAGGATCCCGGCTGCGAGTGCAGGGTTGCAAGGAAGAGCCAGGAAGATCACTGGGTAGTGGCAACGGTTGCTGGATCTGATCCGACAGGTCAGAAGCTTGGCTGACAAGACGGACCAAAGGCTCATAATCCTCTCTGCAATAAGTGTTTCGGACAGCTGTGGCCTAAGAAGCACGGGACGATCCGAAGGCCCGACAAGACACCTCTCTCGAGGATCCTCAAAATGCATCGATGCGAGACTCGCAGGAAAACCCAGGCATGACTGTCGAGGTCTGGAGAGCGTTGGAAGTACGGCTGGAAAAGCTGGCGAGAATCAACACCGAAACACCTGCAAATACTTCGCGTTTGCGAATGCTTGCGAAAGCGACGCGACGATGCGTGGAACCCGTAGTGAACCGTTACACGAGAAGTCTGCTGGCGTTCAGGATCAGGCTGCTACAATGTAGCAGCTACATGGAGCCTCGAAGCTGAGGGTGCGAGCCACTGCAAATGCGTCACCTGAGTTTCGAGGCCATCCGTTCTCTTATTCCCTATTCCCTCTTGCGAAATGATACTACATACATACACCCAAAAACTCGCAGGGTCTTTGACACATGAAAATCCCTAAACTGATTTCTTCCCTGAATGAAGCCTCTTCATTGGAGCCTCCTTCATTATATGAACCAGTGACTCCAGAGCATGGCGACACAACATCTTAGCAGCAAGTCGGACGGGCATCAGACAGACTGAAAACTAACTTGGATCCATACTCCGGGTGATGTTCGTCAGAGCTGCTGATGCTGTAGATGGCAGGCACGCTCTGCTCCACCAATCCAGAGCCTTTCACTGGTGCTTGGAGCCGGAAGGTCTGGGATCGTCCCAAGATGGATGCTTGACTTTGCTGCACTCAGCTCTTCCGTTCTAGGCATCGTCTCGGATAGTTTTGAATAGGTCCTCATCGCAATGAGCTCTTTTGCCGGTTGCAAATGCATCTTCTGAGTAGTTCGGCACAGTTTCAATCTTGAGTCGGCGTGCCAAAGTCGTGCCAAGCTGTTCGAGATTCGAGTGAAAGACAAAGGATACAATTCAAGAGTCCGCACAACTAATGGCTGGCACATCCCTGGGCTTGATCCTGCGGAGCGAGGCACGCGTGTAGACCGTGATGTCTGTGTAGTTCTCCAGCGGAGTGTCTGGATCCAAGGAGGTGTTCCTCGGCTTGTTCTGCAGAGCCCGGGTGTACTGATCCTGCACCCTCCTACGACCCAAGAAGTGTGGTTCTGAAGCACAGTACCGCAGAATTCGGGTAGTTGTCACCGACCAGGTGCTATGTCTTTCATGGAGCCGAAAGCTGGGGAAAGAACCTAGATCACAAGAAGGCTTGAGGACTCCCCTGTCTCCAGTCACCAAGGCTCGAAATTCCGACGGGGACGAAAGCTCCAATCTGCGAGCGGTTCACGGTCGGGCCTGCAAAGGCCAATCAATGTGTCGAAGTTCGAGTCGGTAAGGTAAAACCTATCGTAGGCTCCGAAGGCTTTCCAAATACCGACTCACAGCTGGGTGAACCGAGTTACGCCTCCATCCACGACATGAGCTAACGAAACGAGGCTCACAGGACCCTGAGGACGATTCCACTTGTTTTCGGGGATTTGAGCACGAGCCATCTATACACAGGTCATGGAACAAATGCGAGATCATCATCTTCTTAAGCCTGAGCCCGGAACCCGCCTTCCATGTAAGTCGCATAGAAGCGGATCTGCGCAGTGTCCGACGGTTCGGTCCAAGTGATCTGACAGGAAATGCGCACTTGCAGAGTGTGAGAAACGCTGTTGAAGTAATTTTGTCTTCAGCTAATGCGTGCATATATGGTGTTTTTGGCAGTCATAGCCCTGTTCAGGACGGCCGTGTTGGCGCACTAGTGTCTCTAGGCGAACACCGAGTAACCGTATCCCCATGTGATGCTGGGCCTCGCCACCCAGCTCCTCTTCATCTAGATCTTTGTCCACCAAGAGCACATTCGTGACTGTCGAGCTGGTGTCACCTTAGATAGCCTAAATCAAAGACAATCGGCTTCGGTCGCGGCGATCTTCGAAATTTGCAGTCCCATAAAGAGCTCAGTAGCACTGTACTGGCAATACAGTAAAGAAGCGATGCGAGCCGACCGCATACGTTGAGGGCAACTTCGGAGGCACAAGCCAAGCCACTGATGTCCAACTCCGCCGGCGACGACTGCTCCGTGAGGGAAGAGAAAGTGTACACGAGCAGTGAGGTGTAGGGAGGAAGCCTCGCAGTATAGGTTTATCCCAGCTTCGCTGCCGACGCGCAAAATTGCAAGAATCTGTGCCATCAGGATAAACTGTGGTGCTTTGGAAGCGAATGGGGTCTTCGCGTTTGAGTCCTCACAAGCTCAACTCAACTCCAAGTGTGACTCGGGCCCCGGCACGGTCTCTGTCGGTACCGGCAGCGTGTTCGTGCCTTGGCCAAACGATCGGTTCGAGTTCGTCTGCACTCTCGTCAGAGAGGTAGCCGTGTGAGAAGAAACTCAGAATTCAGAAACACGTCGTGGCTTTGTTTTTGGGTCCTTTGCAAATCCTCAACTCAACCCCTACACAGAACACACTCAGCATCCAGGATGTCTACGGCTAAGGAGTGAAACACATGAAACAACCGGGAGCCTGGCCCAGAGCTGCAGGAACACCGACGACAGAGCGGTTCACCGTCACGTCGTCCAAATACAAGGAGTAACCATCTACCTGCGGACGTGCGCAGATGCTTCCATGCTGCTTCCATCCGTGCAAAACAGCGTACTGTAGATTTAAGCAAACGCTTTAGTATTCAAGCCCTGTTCATAGTGTTGAGTGCTTCAAACCATGGCCCCACGGGCTCCGCTTTAACCACTGATGTACGTATGTATGCATGGTAGAGCATCGCGCAGCCATGTCTCTCAAGATGTAAATAGATGTTACAGGCTGTGCAACCACCTTTCGGGCTCAGGGCGTGGAAGAGACATAACATTCCCAAGGAGATGTGGCAAGAACGAGATCTATGCTGGACTCGGCTTCTGGGACAACCCAGGCCTGGGATGTCTCGTTTGGCGGATCCCAGAAGACGTCACCGCCGATTTCCAGCGCCTCAAGTGCGGCTTCATGGCACTCAGGAACGGATGCCGGGTTGGATACGACATTACAGAAGCATTCCGAGCCAGGTGATTCTTCAGATCATCGCAGTGCTCATTGACTGACATCAATCAACAAGACCTTCCCGTAGCCCAGCAAGTGACTCAAGCATGTCGTCAGCCAGCTAGTCACATCGAAATGCAGGAGGTGCCTGCTGCTTGCGGAAATGTGGCCCCAAATTTGCCCCAAAGCAAGTCTGGCAGAGGCACATCCAGATCCACGTCTGTGAAGCTGACCGCCGACACGCTTGACACAGTGTCGCTGAAGTTGAAGACCTGCAACTCGCCAGAGCTACATTGAAGCTTGGGGCCCTTCATTGCAAAAGGCTTAGCAACAGCGAGAAGACAATGCAGGGGATGTTCACTGTGGGCAGATGCTCTCAGATGGCCCCACAAGGATGCCTCGGGCGTCGTCTGCTCCACGAGACTCGAAGAAGCAAAGACCAATAAGACGCGTCCTCGGCAAGAGCTGTAGGAGTATCGTGCATCTGCAGTTTGCTGAGCTACGTGTAGAGCGCGTAAAGCACTGTCTCAAGTTCTGGATTCTGGATGCTTTGGAGCATTAGCGCAGACCGTGCAAAGACGGACAAGTCCGTGCCGGCGGCTGTTGTCAGTTCACTGTGTTGCCTGTTGCCAGAACCCGAGTCACGCTTCTTTGGCATCACTGCGCTCAGGGTCGGGCGCAGGCCCAACGGTTCTTCCGCGGGCAGGTCTATGTAGTCGGGTCCTCAGGCACCATGCGCAGCTTTGCTAGTCATGAGTCATTATATGAAGGGCAAACAGTTCAACCAGTCCACGAAGACAAGAAGGCTTCTTGAGCATTCATCATGAGTTGCGCTTGGATTCCGACACCGCCAAAGGCAGCTGTCGACGCAAATTCAAGTGCACAAAACAGGAGCTTGAAAGTCACTGATTTCATTGTACTGCGTAACATTTATTTAGATCATCCGGCCCTGAAGGAGACCCGGCCTGTCACGGCACTGGTGCCGGCCAGGGAACGTCCAATGCCTGAACCGTGGAGCTAGGAGTGCGAAACTCGAAGAAGACAAGAAACCTTCAACAATGGAGTCCACAATAACTTCTGCAATCTCAGTCGACAGAGGTAGTCTGCGGACAAGACCAATTCGCAAAAACACCAAAGTCAGTAACACAAATTCGGGAAACACGAGAGACGAATAAAGAAAACTCTGGCAAGAAAGTCGGAGCACAACTAAAAGCAAGGCAAAAGCTGAATCCGTCCCTTCCAGTCTCGATGTGAACCCCCCGGATGGTTGTCCGAATCGGGCCACCTGTTTGTGGGAATTCTTTGTCCACAACCCTTTGGGTTGTTCTCGACGTACTTTCCGACGACAGCATCAGACCGTGATTAAACGAGCACCTCTTGAGCCGAAACAAATCACCCCAAACCATCTCGAATCTCAAAGGGCCTCCCTCTTCCGCGAGATACACGGCGTAGTGGGTCACCTGGCTCCATGCAAAGTGTGGCGGAGTACACTCTCTTTCCTTGATTTACTGCATTGCTTTCTGTAGAACAATTTCGCCACAAGTAGCTCTCTGCTGTTATAACTTCTAACAACCTTCGGTTTATCAACGGCTCCGGAATGCCGAAATTGGGTGCAGGGGATCCTGTACACCGCGAAATCTTGTGTGTGCCCGTCAACCGAAAGATAAAGAAGACTGGGGACATTCTGTATATTCGTGGCTCGACAGCTACTAGATTTATTTGGCCAAGAGGTGCAATACTGGATACCGTCAAGACTCGGTCGTTACATAGCACACGCGTGCTTCGCTTTGTCTCGTGAGTTGGCTTCGTGTTTCTACGGCATAAGAGAGATTTGCAGCTGCAGGCCACTCGGAGTGTCGCATGATGCAGGCTTGGTGTGGACACGGGGGGGGGGAGATTGTGGAAGCGATGCCTTGTCATGCACAGCCAATCGAACATCTTAAGGTCAACTCTGCCCACAACAAACCGCCCCATGACCTCAAACACCGCTGTGAGGCCTGGGACCGCTCCTCAGGTGGCAGCCAATAAATGCGGCCTCCGAGTTCGCCTTCATCCTGGCTTTTGCTCAGGGCGACATGTTGTTGGCCCGCGCCCCCCCCCCCCCCGGGCTGGCATGACTTGCAGTTTCTACTTGCGATTGATAGCAAAAAGCCCTCACGAAACTTGCTGAGTTCGGCCGAGGGACGAGGTCTTTGTCCCAAAAGCTGATATTGGACACACTGGAGACCCTGAGAGTGGAGTATTCAATTCGTGCCAGGCCCAGTCCAGACTTGCCGTGGCTTCTCGAACAGCTTCAGTTGGCCACGCACATGCTTGCGGCTCATGTTCAGATTGGGTGCTGCACTCGTTGTTACGATGCACGCAGCAGTTGTTCTGCATGCTCATACACTCTTGAAAAGTATGTTAGTCTTGTTGATTGCTTTCGGCAAGCGCTGCCCATTCCACGGCTCTTGGAAGTCACAGGTGCTTTCTAGCCCAGACGTCGCGGCATGAGATGGTCGGAATTCGGAATTTAGGACACCACAATGCACCAAAGCGGCGTGTCATTCAGAACACCTGTGTGCGGTGTTGTCTGCTCCGCCAGCACTGACTTTGTGTATAGCAGCACAAAGCCTGACTGCACGGGACGCCATCCATTCATGTAGGCTCTCAAGCGCGAAAGACTAGTAAGAATGGACATCGCAAAGTCTTCTGAAGCGCAGGAGCTGAAGTCATCCAATGGCTGCTCCTTGTCACTCAGCAACTGACTCAGACTTCATGCTGGAACTACCGCCTTACAGCAAACAGATCTCTGCCTGCACCAACCTGAGGACGATCAGTCATGACCAATCCAAGACTGGTTTGAGGATATTGAGTTGTCTTGAAGTTCTGAAGGTTGTCTTGCATTGATGCGAAGAGAGGCCGTGCGCAATCCTTGACTTGCCCTGGTCATATTGGTTGGCTTCGTCCAGTCGAGCGTCTGCTGTCAGGATCGACGACAGGGCGCCTCCCGATCCCGCCTCTTCCGTGCCAATCAGAGAGCGGTTGGTACCTTGCCTCGCACGGATGGGAAGGGAGAATCTTGCAATCCTGCGGAACTGTCACCACTTCAAAGAAACTGACACGACCCTGCACTCCAAGCAATTGCAGAATCAGCACAATCGAGATGTGTAGCTATTCTTGAGCGCGACTGCGGGTGTCAGCAAGCTTAATACCCGGCTCTTGCGTCCAGACATGACGCAAACTCAAGTCGCCCTGTGACACGTTACGCAAAGGCTTGGGAGGGCTTGCAAAAAGCCCTACATCTTCTCAGCCAGCATGCTCATCAGTCGCCAGGAAGGCGAGGTATTGAGTGACATGGCTGACCTGGTTCGTCCAAGCAGTAACAGCAATCCTCCGAAAGCCCAGTGTAGAGAGAACAAGCGCTCTCTGACTCTCTAGACTCTGGACTGGGATGCCAGTATTCCGGCCGAAACCCTGAAGAACTTGGGCCGAAGCATCACCAGCAGGAGACCATTCCACCGTCCCTCCGAGCTCCGACTCGTCGAGATCCTGTCTCACTGTGTCATAACCCTCCCACGTGACAGCAGACCACACAGCGACTCCTTGTCCACAAAGGTGACAGAGCCGACAGTGCTTGAAGTATCACTTACCTGGGGAGCCATGTGGACATATCTCTGTCTGCAGGACGTAGCATGGCATCTCTAGCTGGCCGCCCATCGATCACTCTTGCTTACGGAAACGATGCCCAAGGGCGCTTTCAGCATCTCACACAACAACACGTCCATCGGCTTACTTCAGTACAGGCTCAACCTGATTCTACCCAACTTTCGTCATTGCACTGTCGCGAATCCAGGAGTGGTCTGTTCTGCAATCGCCGAGCGCGCATAGACCAAGGCCTTGCTTGAATGGGGACGGCATATCATTTGCACTCTGTCATCAAGAATGCAGATGTTTTTTGATAGTCCAAAGGGATCTGCGTGGAAGCTGAAAGAGTGCTGATATGAGTGCTGCACCGATTCTGCTAATGTCTTCGTGCGGTCCAGCCCTTGAATCCAAGTAAGCTCCCGTGAAGCCAGGCGACGTAGGCAAGTGAATCCGTGCGATGAACCTGCAGCAGCACGAACAATGTGCGCAAAAGTAAATCCAAAGAGATAACTCCAGATCATCATGAGGTGCTTTGGTGCCTGGCAAAACACGCTTTACTCCTCCGTGCTTCGTGCATGAGATGACTGCACAAGACCAAGTAAACTTGGCTTTCTTGCAGTTGACCACACCGGCCAAAAGATTCCGTGATCCCACTCTGCCTTCAAACCGGCTTGAAAGTCATGAATGCTTCGCTGTATAAGGCTGCGCCACAGGTGCCACAACTCCAACCTACTCACGCCATCTCAAACCCTGCGAGATGCACTGGGGATCCCGCAGCTGTCCGAGGGATGTCGGCTGGGAAGGTGACACTGCGAGCAGCATCGGCGGCCAATGATCCCACCTTCCAGGGGCAAAGAAAGACCGAGGACTGGCATGAAAGCAGGGTTTCAGGAACCAGAAAAGTGTTCAAAATTCTCGGAGTCAATACTTAAGGGGTTTCGCTTCCTCTGTAGTAGCAGCCGGGCGCTGAGATTTGGAACATCAGTCAACCAACAAGCGGCTTTGTCTGATGAAAAGAAACTTGTACTTAAAGCATCTGGCTTTGGCAATGGTTTCGTCTTTTGGAGTGAGCCCGCAAGCTAGCTGGTTGATGCTGGCCGTGATAATTCTGCGCAGCAGGCCCGGAAAAACAACGCCGCCCGAACAAGGGACAAGCGCAATAAAGGAGAGCCTGCGATCGGAATGATCGCCCGTCCGCCTGAGGGAAGCGAGGTCAGAGTGATGCAAGGGCTTGCGAGTTGCATAGATGTTTCAGGCAGGTTCTGCTGTTCTGGGCCGTGCGATGCTATGCTCCCTTCCGCCGTGCCCCTTCTGCGAGATCTCCCTTCAGTCCCTTCCCCATAGTTGGGGACGAAGTCGCCGACTCGGAGAGGTACCTCACAACATTCGCACAGCATCTGCGCACAGCTTCTACCCATGTCGCTGCTGGACTCTTCGTCTCTTATGGGGATGCATCCGGGGGACAGGTTGTAGCCGGAGACGAGCTCCACATCACCAACAGCGGCCCACCTTGGCTGGGGCTTGGGGGACTGCACCAGGTTTTCGAGAATCAGGCTTGATAATGTTGCAGATTTGTTGTTCTGGGACTTTGGGTGATGAAGTGCTGACCGTTTGGAACTCCTTGGTAAGACTCTGACTGACCACTCGGTCTTCTAGGTGTTCTCTGCCCATCAGATTCTGCGCTTCCAAACTCTGCGAGGCCCAAGGCGTGCAGTAAGGTCCTGACTCCAGGTCTCCTCCAACTTGCTCAGCATCCAAATCCTGGTCCGTGAAATTCGCTTCCGGGATGGGCACAAACCTGGCAAAGCGTCAGGAGCCCGGCCCAACGCCTTTGACTTCCACGCTTTGCCACAAGATGTCGGCTCGTGTGATGCTGAACAAGTCTTCGAATTCCAAGTCCAAGCCCAGGGTCGAGTCGTTGAGCATTGACGCGGCGGGTGTCGTCTGTTCTGCCAGAGCAGACCTTCAGTCATGCACGACTCTGCACTCCAAAATCTCAACATCGGCTCGGGACACAGAGACTCATTGTGAGAGAGCATTCTGCTTCTGTAGCACCTCAAACATCTTACAGTATATAGCACCTCAAACATCTTACCTGGTGCCTCAAGCATTATCTGTTCCATCGGTTCCATCGTCTTCAGTGTGTGCACTCCCGTGCTTCAGTCTGCGCTGGAAGCAGAAAGGTGCACAGCAGCTTACGCACAGGTCGCACCCAGAGCATGAGCAAAGCCCATACCATTCAAACACAGGATGCTGACCTTTGCTTCTACCACGGAACTAGCCCGCGGCCTTGCATAGACCAGCACATAGGAGAAATTGAGAAGTGGCGTGTCGGTAGAAAGGAAGACCTGCAAAGAGAGAGCGCCACGGAGTACTCCCTGCCCTCTTGGATCGGTTGCCTGGCCGGCCTGTGTGGTCCCTGCGGCAGAGGTGTTCACAAATGCGCCCAGGTGGTCAGCGGTTGGTCCGGGAGAAAGATAGACCTTGGATGCCAGCGGACAACCGCGGATGTCCCTGAATAGACGGACCCTCAAACGTAACAAAATCCAAGCAAAAGATTCAAAGTGGAAGCTGAATGCTGGCACAGTCAGATGCCAAGACTGGACGTTGCCGAGGCAACGGCAGCTCTGAGGGACTGGCCAAAAAAAGAAGCGAGCTAGCAATGAACTGAAGTGATCCTTGCCGCGCACATCCGAGGGCGGCACGTCGTAGCCGGTGATCAGAGTCTCGTCGGGTGGTGTCCAGGTTATCGTGCCCCCCAGCTCCTGCACTTCGGAGCTATTGCTATTGGTTGTGCAAAACGTCATGTGCATCACGTTGTCATGAATCGGTTCTCTCCGCACCAAGTGGACGCACAAGGTACGTGCAAGAGCAACGACATCGACATGGTTGCCTACGAATGCAAGTAGTCCTTAAAAGACATGTGTTCACAGTTTAAGTCTGCTGGGGACGTGGGTATCATTCAGTACGGTGGCTGCATCAATTTAACGTTGACGGACCATCAACCATAACCTAACCAGGGTCCAACTACCGCTGCCAAGCAGCGAGAGGGTCGAGGTCGAGGTCGATGAGTGACACCGCCGAGGCCTCAGGCAGAAATCTCTTTCGTCCTTCGAGTCTCCTTCCTTTCCCACAGAGTTTCATACTTTCATCACAGCTGTCATGCTTTTTTGCCGCGTCTCCACTGCTCATTCTTGTGCCTTTCTCATGCATCATGTGTTACGACCGGAGATGGATGTGAAGTCGAAACCCACTACGGCAGTTTGGGCAACAAAGAATGACGAACGTTATTGCTGCTAGCAGAGCCGCATTCGAAGACCTCAAAGCCCTGCAGTTCAAAATATCTCCAAGTCCCCCGCCAGGAGTGCAGTGTCGCTAATCTCGAGGCTGTTGGGCGTCGTTTGCTCCGCCTACTGTTTGGCGGCAGGATGAAGGTACGGAGCTGGGGAACAGGACTGTTCAGAAAGGTTGGGTGCTTCTGTTGCAGTGGTTCCATCCACATATTCTCATGGAGGTCTTAGCAGCTGGAGACGGTATCGCGGCATGGCAGCCTGCAGTAGAGAATCATGCATGCGTAGCGAATATCACAGGTTGAACACTGGCTAGATAAGGATGTTGGGCATGTTGTGTTGCTGCCTCACTTGGGCCTTCAAAAAACATAAACTCATGCAACAACAAGTCTGCCGCTGAGAGCGCTGCCCCCGGAGATTTCATGTAGACTGCGATGTACTTCCAATCCCGCAGCAAGGTCTCTGCTGGTACCTTCAAAGCGGCCAGAGGGTCCAGGGTCTAGGCTGCAGAACTGGCAGAGTGGTAGAGACGTCGCGGTGGAGGACAGCTTCAAGATGTTGCAGGAAGCTGGGATTGCAGCTTACGCAGCACAGGAAAAGGTAAGAGCCTGCTTCGCCTAGACTCAGAAGCGGTGGCGCACCAGGGCCACGTTGGTGCCCAAGGGTATCTCGCCGCCCACCTCCGACAGGCACCGTCATGTGTTGTCCGATTACCAGGTGTCGGTCCGGCAAGGTCTTTCTGCGATTTGTATAGTTTCAGCATGGGCTGGTGCAGGATGTTTTGAGACTTTGCTGCGCATATGATCTGTGCATGCATAGGTCCAAAACTTGGGCCAGTGTGTTTTGACTTTCGACTGCGCTTGCAAGACACACAGTGTTGACGAAGCAGCCGAGCAGCCTGGCGACATGTGGCTTTCGAACGCTCGCTTCTGGTGTAGTTGTGTTGTTATCCCGAGCTGACAAGATCCTATACAGTAGACCGTTCTGGAAGCGCTTCGGACATTCTTAACCGTTCCTGATGTCTTTACCCAGAGACAGACTGAGCTTGATTGTCAGGGTCCCGGGCGACACTTCTTACGCAGGTGTTGCTGCAAGCTGCTCTTGCCAGCTCGAGTCGAATGAAAACAACAAAGACAAAGGTCCGACTTGTTGGTTTGTCGTTCGCGGCCGAGCCCACCTTCGTGCGGTTTGTGCCAAGGACGTCGGTTGTGAGGTAGACTATGAAGTGAGTCACCTTCGCATGCACACGAAGGGGTTCAGCTGAATACCAGTTCGCGATGAGAGGGGCTGACTCGAGCATGGCAAGACAATCGATGCATGCACTGTGAGTCAAACCGATCTTCGCGGCTACCAAAAAATCAGACGCTAACCAGCATCGCACACTCCAGCTGAGGGGCAGTGGCCGTGAAATTCGGAGGCTCCCAAGCGACCTGGCCTCGCATCGGCTTCTACGCGTCCAGTATCCTAGTTGAGCAGCCATACTTCACACCAACGCACAACTTACAGATGTGCGGCGTGCATACAACATGTTCATGACACCCCACCCAATTTCCATAGCATGCACTTGGATCAACCAGCTACTGCGGGATGTGTCATCCTGAAGACCCCCGTCGGAAGCAGTTTCCCGAAATGGAACCCTACTGCCCTTGAAACTTCGAGGAAGAGCTGCAAAGGGCGGCAATGCCTTACGATGCTGCTTCTGCAGCCGCCCCGTGCTCTCGCAAACATCTGATGCTACTATCAAGCTTCCGTTCACCTGCCTCCCAGCTCTGATGGATCCAGGTCCTCCACTCAGCGGCAGAAAACGACTTGGAGGGTCTTTGAAAGGAAGTTTGTCAGTTGACCTGTGCTAGGGACTACACTTCTGAGATGTCCCGAATCGACAGAGACGACTGACTGCAAGACTGCGAAGAGATTGTGCTGATAGTCTTGCTGAGGCCCTCCGGCCGAAACAAGCTAGTCAGCTAGTCTTTCGATTCGCCCAAAACCTTTACTAGTACAGGACTGGAGGTGCCGGGACATCCACACTCACACGAGTTCGGACTGATGAACGTGTTAAAGCAGGCCTCGTCCGTGAATGTAATGTTCTCGACCTCGATGGCATCATCGATGAATTCCAAGGCCACCGGGGTGGTCTGCTCTGCAAGCGATGACCGGGTGTACCTCAGAATCTCAGCTTTGCAGCATCAGGCTGTCCTGGATGGGTCGAGTCCTGCAACTTGTACTGAAACATGCTTCTAATTTCTTCAACTCGGGCTCCTATGGCCCTATGGCCGAAGCAGTACCCAGCCGGCACTGCCATGACTCTTGCCTACTCGCAGGCGTAGCACAAGCCAACAAAAGCTGGCATGAATTGGCATGCAGCCCCGGGGTAGCCGGGTAGCCCATCTCTGCAATTTATCTCGGGGTCAGTACTCGATTGATGTGGCTCGGGAATACCATTCCGCGATGCGCTGATCCAACTTCCATCTATGAACCCCCCTTTTGACTGGAGTGAGAAAGTAGCTCCTCCCCTATATCACTCGCCCCTGCAGATGCAGCAAGCTGCAGAAGGATGTGCGACACCGACAAGGACTGGAAATTGTCGGGCACGTACGCTGAGTTGGTCCCAGCCGGCACATCCTGTAAACACACTAACGCATAAGATGTCGTTCTCATGATCTAAACTGACATTGCCATATGCTGCAGACCTGCCCTCTCTTTCCCTCTCTGTCAGAATGCGTGAAGGAGTGGTGGCTCGTGTGTTGTAGCAACACAGACTTCAAGCGTCCGCCTACTGCCCCCGTGACACAGACCTGGCCGAGCTGAGACCTTCCCATTCCAACAGCAGAGGTGGCAAAGTATACCTCAGCACATGGAACTGCCTCGACTACAGAGGTTTGAACCCTCAGATGGAAGTACAGCAACTTCGAGACTCGCACTGACGATGCGCTTCCTAATCTGACGTGCTGCTGTGACACGCGGTAGTGTGTCACCTGCGCTGCATCTGCGGGCTCGGTCCAAACCACAGGGCCTGTCAACACTAGGCAAATCAAAGAATTTACATTGCCGATGTCTTGCTTGGCCGAAGAAACGGCACACTTAGAATCGGTGGGTCAGGTTGCCGATACCTTCGATGCGCCGATGTTTCTGGCTTCCGGCATGCTGGCTTGCTTGCCCCTGGTGGCTACACCTACGTCAAGCATCGCTACTTATCTGAGTCTCTGCTCTGGAGCCTGCAAGCTCGAACTTGTCCAAGTCTTCGTCCAAAAATTGCACATTGGATACGCTGGCATCAGTGTCGCTGATGTTGTGGACCTGCTGCAACACGGCAACATAAGCGGAAGACATCGAGTTCGAGGACTGCGAAGAGTGAGGAGCTGCCTGAAATGCTTTGGAATACTGTCGAAATGGGGTATGACACTTGGCTCCAGCTGTATAATATGCCCTGATCGACGGACTGCTTCAGCACGGGGAATCACAATTGCACCTGGCCTTCCGTTGACCTACTCACCTCAACACGCTGACGTGGGGATCTCGATTTTGTAGATGTCATTTTGCCAGTGGGATTGGAGGGAAGCGCCGGCCGAATGGAATGGGGCTCTGTAGACTCTGCTTGGCACCTGTGGTGTGGTGCTCTCGAAGAGTCTGGACCGCGAATAGATGTGTATCTCCTTCGATGCAACTCATGCCACACATCTATGCAAAAGCTGAAACATGGCAACGAGCTGGTCGGGTAAGGTTGAGATTAGAAATACATGAATCCCAAAGCATCTCCAAACTTGGTGGAAGCTTTATCTGATGCTCTGCTGCGTAAAATCTCGTCGTGCGATGTCTGTGTGCGGGTTCGTTCTCCATCCTGCTGGCTTGTCTGAACTATCAGTAGCTATTACTGTAGCATCGGCCATCATTTCCCAACTCCCCGTTTTGGGTTTCCAGCTCAATTGCATGAAACAATGACACCGAAGTCGTACCTTGTCTATCAGAAGGGGAGCACTTCAAATCATCACAACCGCGTTCAGAGCAAAAGCAAATCGATCAGCCACCTATACATACAAGGTAATGCGTTGCTAGGCTCCCCTCCTCCCCCCACCCCATGGTATCGGCTGGAGACTTAGGTGTTGTTCGGGATTTCAGTTTTGGGGAAGGATATCATTTTCCCTGGGGCAGGGGTGCGGTTTGGGCCGGGGTGATCTGAAAAAACGGCCACAGAGTGTTTCGCGGAGGGCCAAAAAGAATCGACAGCTTTACGAGGATGGCGATCCGGACGAGCCGTATACACTGTTGAAAGGACTGAGCTATTGAGGTGGAGCTTCGTGACATGCCGTTCCCACAAGAGCAGAGCCAACATCAAAAAAGCACTCAGTCAATTCACCAGCTTTGCAACACTGACGGTTTCGTCATTCCCGTGGGTCTCCTGTTTCGGCGGCAGTGAAAAGTTTTGATCAATGGCCAACCTCAGTCTTCCACGGCAACTGATCTGAAAGCAAGACCGGCCAGACCATGGCCCTGGCTGGTTGCTGCCAACCGGGGATGTTCCGACCAAGCTCCGGCCAGTGTTCTGCACGACATAAACCAGGTAGTCCTGCAACTACACTGTGCCTATCGTGCATCGCTCAAGCAGTTCGCCTGAGGCATGCATCCTTGGCACCAGCTAGCAAGTCCGAGGAACAGGCTGAGGCACTGAGGCAGGCATCAAACGATGTATGTGGAACCCATGGAGCACACATTCATCTTGCAAGCCAACATGTCTATCCAACAAACACTTTACTTTTAATTCAATTGGGTGAGGTCTGCGCTCCTGGACCGCGAAGTCGTCACCCTCAGAAGCCCATGTCACCGTGCCGCCAAGTTCGCCCACATCCAAATCCTGGAAAAGTCTCAGCGTCTTCACAAGGTTTCCAGTCGGAAAAGACTTAAAGACAGACTTGGCCGGGCTTTCGGTCACCGGAATCAGGATGCCGAGGCTTCTGTTGGCCATTGAGTTTGCCTTTGGGTTCTCCTCTAGTCTCTCTAGTCCATATGTCTCGGCAAGCCCTCAGGTGGAGGTGATCACGTGAAGGCTCATGGTCGCGGCAGCCTTGTCGACGAAGCTGATGTTGCTTACCGCAGCCTCGAAAGTAGCACCGAAAGCCACTCCATGGTCGCTACAGAGACAACACAGAATTGGAATGATTGGCTGGCTGCAACTGGCTGCACACGCAGACGTCGGATGGCAGTGTAAAACCCGAAGCAGAACGCAGCCTGTGTGTCGTTTAGCACAGCAGCGGCCGGCGTAGACCTTCGTGACTCCGCACTGTTCGCTCTCGGACTCGAGAATTCTTCCGCCGGATTGTCAAAATCTTCGGTACTCCCAACCCGCGAGCCAATCAGTGGAGGAGCTGAAGAGGAGCACTCATTTCCACTTGCGAAAAGGCCAGGAAAGCAAGGGCAGAAGCAGTCGATCAGTCGATGGAGCTCGGCCGTTCTTGCGTGCATGCTCGGCAGCATGGATGCAAGCACATATATTATGTTGCCATGAAGCGTCAACCTGCAAGATGATCGCGTTCTTCTGCTTTACACCGGCCCACATACAGATACAGATACACCCTGATCGTACGTGGCACAGTGCCTTGACCGACCTAATTGACTTCTTGAGTCTCCCTGCATAAGCAATAACTCCGCCATCTACGAGCATCTTCGAACTGTCCTCGTCGCAGCTTAGCTGATTACTGAGGCAGCGGACGCACTCGTCCCACAAAGACAAAATGCAAGCTGCCATGTTGCGCAACACACAAGTTGGGCTGGAGGGGTGTATGGTCCTGGACACGATTTTGACTTACTTCCCTACTACCTTATTAGAGAATGGTAAACGACACCTCCCGCAAGCTCCACAGAGCTAGCTTTCGTGACAGCAAGGTCGCAAGTTTAACTCCGGCAGCCCTGCCCCCGGCTTCAGCACCTGAAACGAGTAACAGTCGCAGACCGATGCCGGCCTATGGCATCGTCCGTCCCACCCCTGTGGTTAACTGGGGTCGAGACTGCTCCACGAAGGTGGACTTCGTGTAGACAAGGAAAACCTCGAAGTGCGCCTGTTCGCTTCGAGAATGCTGTGGTTGACAGGGCATCGGACAAGTCGCGTGAAGCCGATGTTACCGTCGCAGGAGATGAGGAGACGAGAGCACGAGACAGAAAGAGAGAGAGAGAGAGAGAGAGAGAGAGCTAGATGGAGATGAAGCTCGAACAACAATCCTCTTCCAAACTACAGACCCACCTAAGCACCAAGCCCCTTCAAGACTAGACAACTCGTACAGTTTTTGAGAATAGGTTAGAATACCCTGGCCCGGCCCGGTCGATGTTCTCGCTTGTCGTTGCGGTAAGCTCTGCAGTGCCAGGGACATCCGAGTGGACCGCCTCCAAAGCGTGGCTCAACAACGAACGGAAGACGACAGAAAACCGGGCCACAGACCAGTCCCCACAGATGCAGCCATGAGCCATGCTGCCATGCGCTCGAGCATGGAAGAGATCGGCCTGCCGTCCGGACAAGTCTGCCGCAGCGAAATAGAGCGAATAGGCCGCAACCTCTCCACGAGCAGACGGGAGAAGAAGGCCACGAAAGCTAGGAGGCAACAAAGAACGTGTGGGACAGTGCAAGCAGCGTGCCACACGGTTTCCTTTCGTCATGCTTCATTGTCGCATTCGGGCCTGTGCAAGCCTGGCAGCAAGTTCTACTCGCAAGCAGTGCTAGCGAACCCCGAGGCAGCATGCCAAAATGCTGGGGCTTGCTGATTGCCGTGAGCTTTTCAGGACCTGAGCCGCCCCCCCTAGGGATCCTACGTGTTCTGGATAAGTATGTGCAGAGCTGGCAGAGCACGAGCAATTGCCATCACGACATAACGACTGCACCGATGCTGTGCGCCTGAGTAGCATCGGCTGGCTCTGAGAAGTTCAACACCCCTCCGAACCTCAGCGTGATGTGGTCAGGGAGCCCAGAGGGCTTCCTCATAATAGCACTCTGTTCACAGTTCTCACACACACAACATTCACGCCACCCACGCAGGACCCAAGACACGACAAACTCTGCGTCTGCACGTACAGGTGGTGCTGAACATACTCGACAGCAGGCGTCGTGGGTCAGGCAAGGGCGCTATCACTCTTCAGTATTGCTGCAGTGACGTAATGTCTAGTGAAGTAAAGCACGCGATCTGCTTCACCTGTTCATGTAATGAAATTGCACGTCGCGATGCCTCTAAGCATACTGAGCAGCTGTACAGATGGGAAATCCTCCCGCGGCAATGGATGAGTCTATCTGCAGGATACCAGATCGCCACTCGCTCCTCTACACCGGAATTGCACTGAAGTGTTCATCAAGTCCTCCAGCTCATGCTGCCATTGACTCTCAAGACGGGTAGCTGATCCGTGTCCAGATCCAAGTCTTCGAACTGCAGGTCCGTTGCCTTGAGCGGCAGCGAGGGAGCGAGAGAGAGAGAGAGAGAGAGATCCTTAGGCTGTGGATCAGAACGCTTACAGCTGCTGCTCATCTGCTCAAACCCACATGCTGGTAAGACTATTCAAATAACTCGCATCGCAGCAACAGGAAACAAGACTCGCTGCTGTTCCGCAGATCAAAAAACTTCATACACGTTCCCGGCAGACAGCCTTCACGCCAAGAATGCCAAGGCACCACGGACTCGATATCGCTGATTTCGACTGATGCCGGGGTTGTCTGTTCGAAGAGGGAAGACTTCGCAAAGACAGCGGCTGCAGTGCCTTGCATCAGCTAGTGGGCTAAAGGGTAATCAGATTCAGGGCAAACCAGGCAGTAAAACATCCACATGCTTGGTATGGGCTATAGTGGCAGTCAGAAAATGGCAAAAAGATTCATAGCAAGTCCCAAACTTCCGATGCATCCTAGACGGCCTCACCGAGATCTGCAAAACAACTCGCTTCTTGGAGGCCCGGCTTTTCAAGAGACTGCGATCGCACGAAAACACTGAGGCCGCGGACTTGCCGCGAGTGGCTGATCAGCTGCGACTGTGGCCGTTTGCACATTGGGTGGCAAATCCCCGCCGATCTGAGACCTGAAACTTATGCGCCCGCCCAGCACAGCAATACGTACACCGCCACTTAATGTGAGGCCAATGTGAGGCCGGAATAGAGAGGGGTGACTCTGAGCTCACACAAAGACAAGGTCTACGCTGCCCAGGCGTACTAGACATGTATACTGGTTTGACTGCACATGGTATGCAGGAAGCATGGACTCGGATGGTAAAGCAACACCTCCCCCGAAGCAGGACACGGCGGCACCTGTTCCCCGTGTTGTCGAGCCTGGGCGCTGCTTGCGTCACACAGTGACTATCGCAAGATCTGGTTTAAAGATCAGGTACTGGTTATACAAGTACAAGTGCATGCCTCTTGGGGGATGCTCGTGAGCCTTCGCTATCTCGGGGGTCGGGTGATTGCGACGCTGGGTTGATGCCCCTTGCCAGGATGGAGATGGCGCAGAAGCTCGAAATTTAACAGCAGGATTCGGGGAGTGCTTGAAAAGCCAATCCGCCCAGCCTCAGTTTCGAAAGAGCCTGTTGCAAAGAAGATCCTGGAAATCCATCTAAGTCTACTTCGACCTGAGTTCAGCAAGCGTTTATCTTTTTGAAGTTGCTGTTGATTCCACGAACCCTTGTTTATTCCGAGTGCTGGCTTGCTGATCCATGCTACATGCTCGCAGGAGTATCTCCACCCATCCAAGCCGCATTCTGCCAACGTTCACCACAAGTATTCAAAGTGATCCATTTCCTGCTCAGGTGAAGCCTCAGGGTATGGCTTCAGGCTTGATCTTAGTGTCCGACAAAAACACGCGGTAGTGGACGAGCTGCGATGTGTCCACAGGTGTCCTGTTCAAGAACTGAAGGAAAAATTCGCAGAAGGCTGAACTCTTTGATCCCAGTGTCTGCCATGTGACAATGCCGCCCAACTCGCCGGCATCCAAATCCTGTCAGAGTCAGCATCTCGACAACTCCGACCCGAGGCCCTTGCTGCTGAAAGATATGGTTCATATGATGAACCGATAATTTCGGATGAGAACTGTGGAAAGTTTTGGAACGAGCATCCCATGCCTGAGGCACCCCGAAGTGACGGCTGATCTGCTTCGAAAGCTCAGGATGGGGAAATCTTCAGAGGCAGGTTTGGAGACGAGCCCCTCGAAATCGCTAGGCGACTGCAATATTCCGCGGCCACGAAACCAGACAAACTCAACAACCTCCTTAGAAATCTCAGTTCGGAACTTGTGCACCCTTCAGCGCTGTATGGCACATTGTCAAACCCACCACTTGTCGCAACAAAAACCAGGCGCGAAATCTTTGCCCACAGCGCCTTGTCGACGAAGTCAAGGCCTGTTTGGTTGCTCTTATGAGCTGGGATGAACTCTTGAACTATGGACAGGTGCCACTTCTTCGGCAAGGTTTGGTGGCAGCGATTGTTCAACAGTTTCTTGTTGGTTTCATCGCGTTGTTCATGTAATCGGCATTGTTTAATAAGGGTTGCCTGGCGCGGAATGTTGGAAATCGCGTTTTTGTACTCAGAAACCGGTCCGTGATCGCCATCAGAGTTTATCTTCAGAGTCCTTCAGGTCTGGCTTTCAGGCGTTCAGGGACTCCAGGCATGGAACGAGCCGCTTCTTTCTGCAAAACGAAAGCACCATCCGATCGACGAGTTGCAGTTTAGAGACATGCACATGGACGACAGTTGACAGCAACTTGGACTATGGCATCGTGAAGGTGACACTGGCGACTATGGTCTCAGAGTTCATCACCTTAAGAATGAGCAGTCTGGAACCGATTGTTCCCAATTTCCTGGCAGCTCAGTTCAATCGGGCCTTGGACAGTCGAGGCCGCATCGCTAATGGGGAACTGCGTCGGCGTTGTCCTTGGTTCCGAACACATGCTGTGTATGCACATCTGTGCGTTATGGGGGTGCTTGTATTAAGGGTTGCAACACGGGCTCTGGCAAAGGTGAAACAAGGCAAAGAGGACCTCAGTGTAAGCTACAGTACCACGCTCGGGGCCTGACTCTTTCCCGTTTTGGGGCACACTTGGGACTGGAACATGTGTGAATGACTTTGTCTTTGCATGGCTTAAAGAAAGAAGCCTGACCGGCGGGGCCCAGGCGTCGCATGATGCAGTCTTCCAAGTGCAGAAAATACAGCTATGCTGACAATTCTAACGGTAAGGTTGATAATGCTGGGACTAGGAGGGGTTTCTTGCAGCCGACCCTGGGCCAAATATGTATGTGTATGTGTACGTGTACATGCGCGCACACACGCATGTCCGTGTTGTTGTAGTTGTGAGTACGAGGAGACGCGTTGTACATCTATACCTATATCCGTTTACGTGTGCATCTCTACAAACATGTATACGGCATGCAAGCATGCATACATAAGGACATGTGTACCGATAGGTAGATATATTATATAGACAGAGAGATAGATACTGTAAACAGAACGATAGATGGATCGATAGCCAGGCACGGACGTTGCTCACAGAGAGAGAGAGAGAGAGAGAGAGAGAGAGAGAGAGAGAGAGAGAGATGTATAGGTGTATATATAGAGGTATTTTTAGATAGACTTAGATACATAGATAAGCAAACAGACAGATGGAGGCGGCCAGACACATGACAGACGGCCAGACACATAGACAGATACTCAGATCGATAGAGACAGATGGCGGCTAGACTTTTTCTTGCCATGCTCGTGGTAGCTCTGTTGCTTGTGCTTCAAAGCCCTTCTGGATGTTTAATCGTGCGCTAGAAGGAGAGGGCGGAAGATGGCAGAAGGCAGTCGCATGCCAGCATTTATAGCACCGTGGTTTCTGCACAAGGCTCTGCTCTGCCAGCGCTGACCTGGCATAGACCTGCATCGCAACTTCAGAGAACGGGTCGAGACGAAACAGAACAAACATGCTGAAAAACTCACGTTGCTTAGCAGAACCAAGACTGAGTCCAGTCGAACGAGTGGTGCCAGAACCTCCTAGCACCACCACGAGCGTTGAGATGTGTCTGTCACCATGGCCAAACAGGCACGGCGTTCTACGGGCAGTACTTCAAGACTTCAAGGCTTTCTGCCAAGATTGTAGCCATAGTAAAGCTTCTTACACGAGCTTTTCTCGGCTTCACTGGCATGCAGCATGTGAACGGCACCTGCAGGTACGTGAAATTCGTGAGGTTGGTATCCTCTGCAAGGAGAGTCTCGTTGGCGCCAACCGGGACAGGATTGCCGGCCTGGCACGCATGGATCCGTCATGCAGCCAAGCAGAATTTTTGCAAGGCTTCCGGTTGTAAAGATATGCAGATCCACCCGTCTGAATGCACCGCTGCTGTCCGATTCTGAGTTGGTTGTACTTGAAGGGCTTCAAGCCTTTACAACACCACTTCTCCAAGTTTTCAGGTCCCAAGACTTGAAGAGGCAAGCTAAGAATGGATAAAGGCGGAGAACATGGAAGCTGCCTGGGACCGTTCTTCGCCAATGCCCTCATCCGAAAGATACAGGATGTAGTCGACGACCTGTGATCGTGTTGTGATGGTACCGGCTTCTCGTAAACCCTACACGCGTATACAAAAGGCGGGCCCGGACTGGGGCATCATGACGGAATTGAAGTGAATGAAGCTTGGGGACTGATGGGACTCAGGCTTTCCTGCTTGCGCTTCATGGTAATCACCGAAACCTTTGACCAGCCGGCTACACCAAAACACCTTGTCACGATCAGGCTCCTCGCAACCCCACGCCACCTCTGAATTGAACGGTTCAGACTTGTAGACCGACTCCAAAAGCAGGCCACGGGAAGCACAAAGATCACAAAGCCTTTTCTCACTGTCAGGCGCTCGCGTGGGACAGTGGAAGCTGAGCGATGTCAGGTAACTAAGTGCCTATGCCTACATATATATATATCAATTGTGGATTCAGAGCTTCTGTCAATTGCCTCCACAAGGGGAAGTCTGCACCACTACGAGCATCAGCCAGTTATGTGTTCGTTTCGTCCCGTGCAACGTTGCTGCAGGACATCTTAGTTTTTGTCCCCCCACTTTTCTCCCCGCTGCTAGGTTGAAGGCCAAGTTGTAGGACATCTTACGAATCAGGATCTCCGACAGGTGAACGGCTCGAAGCCCTCAAAGCCGAAAGCTGTGGAATATTGTTGGGCTTTCCTAGACAGGTAGGTTGCACATCTTGTCGGCAATCTTGCCGTCTATTCGCTTCAGGATGCCCTTCAGCTGAGAGCCAGGTCCGAGCTCGTAGAACCTCAAAGGCTTCCCGCGATTCTCGCCGCATCTCTCCGCTTCTCGCCGGCTTACAGGCTTACAGCAGGGTTTAGGGATCTTGGAATCCGAAGTCGTCCCCGACAACCCTGCTCGGTCACACACTCGGTGCAGCCGTCTCTGATCGCCTGCTGCATGGACCTCGGCCACCGATCCTACCATACCAGCTCTCGTTTCCAGGGGTTGCGTCAGAAATCGACCGTTACTTACTTTTACTTGATTGCTCCCCGTCTGCTCCCTTGCTGCCCTAGTTACATATTGACAAACCGAAGTCTGCACTGTGTGACCATCTGCTCTGGGCAAAGGGGCTGCTCCCACAGCACTGGCGAAACCATCTGATCCGCGAGCAGCTTCACAATCTCCTGGCGGATGCTAAGAGACAGTAAATATCAGCAAGAACCACCACTACCTCAGCGGGTGAATCTGCCTCCACGGACAGTGTGACGTTCATTTGTTTACAGTGTTTTGGACCCAGGCGATGCTTTGCGGCATGCGGTGTTCATGTGTTTGTTATGTGTATTTTTCGTGTTGCCTTTGGTGTTCGTCGTGGTTGTTGCTTGACTTGTGCGGTGTGTGTGTGTGTGAGAGTGTGAGAGTGTGTGAGTGTGTGAGTGTGTGAGTGTGTGAGTGTGTGTCTGTGTGTGTGTGTGTGTGTGTGTCTGTGTGTGTGTCTGTGTCTGTGTGTGTGTCTGTGTCTGTGTCTGTGTCTCTGTCTGTGTCTGTGTCTCTGTCTGTGTGTGTGTGAACCTCCCTAGCACATGGGAGCAGAGGGTCACTCCTTCTGTTTTTTACATGTGGACATTTGCAAGGGGCCATTCAGCCTTGCTATCAGGGAATGGCCAACGAAGAGCCTGATAGCAAGGTGCTGCAACGTACCTGCAAGGGGACGGAAACCATATCCCCGATGTGCCAGGGACAGAACCCAATCCCTACTACGTGGCATTTTGAACGTTTTACGCCCTGCCCGGACATCGCACTTCGACCGCGGCAGCGGCAGCCATTCTCTATGTCTGGCTCCGGGGACAGAAACCTATCCCACATTATAATGCC